CTTCAGGCTGACCCGGGACCAGCTGGAGGGGGACGTCCACCAAAGAGTCAATGTGAGGACTACAGAGGGACAACATCCTAAAAGTAACACTTATTGTTGTTTATCAACCCCTGCTGGTCACTACAGAGAAGTAGAGTCATTTCCTCATAGACGTCTATGGGAGCAGAGGAGTCGCCCCCTGCTGGTCACTACAGAGAAGTAGAGTCATTTCCTCATAGACGTCTATGGGAGCAGAGGAGTCGCCCCCTGCTGGTCACTACAGAGAAGTAGAGTTATTTCCTCATAGACGTCTATGGGAGCAGAGGAGCCGCCCCCTGCTGGTCACTACAGAGAAGTAGAGTCATTTCCTCATAGACGTCTATGGGAGCAGAGGAGTCGCCCCCTGCTGGTCACTACAGAGAAGTAGAGTCATTTCCTCATAGACGTCTATGGGAGCAGAGGAGTCGCCCCCTGCTGGTCACTACAGAGAAGTAGAGTCATTTCCTCATAGACGTCTATGGGAGCAGAGGAGTCGCCCCCTGCTGGTCACTACAGAGAAGTAGAGTCATTTCCTCATAGACGTCTATGGGAGCAGAGGAGTCGCCCCCTGCTGGTCACTACAGAGAAGTAGAGTCATTTCCTCATAGACGTCTATGGGAGCAGAGGAGTCGCCCCCTGCTGGTCACTACAGAGAAGTAGAGTCATTTCCTCATAGACGTCTATGGGAGCAGAGGAGTCGCCCCCTGCTGGTCACTACACAGAATGCAGCTTTAACTCGTGACGCTTTGACTTGTCTTCTGAAGGTGGCCCCATCGATCATGTCGGGTTCATCTTCTGGAGGCTCTTTGTATTTAATATTTAGTATTATTTACTGATCTGTAAAATGATGATTTGATCTGTTTTGCTTTGTTCTCACTGAGGCGACGCTCCAACGTGTCACATCCAGACGTGCAGCGCAGATGTTTACTCAGCCTGCTGGCTTTATTTTTAGACTGCGGCGGGGTCGGAGGTCGACTCATGGGGGGCCCAACATGTGTCGAGGCGGTCTGGAAAAACCGATAGGCGAGAACGGGCCTCCGGGACCAAAGAAACACCTCTAATGTGTTTTTAAAGTAGAACTGTTTAATATTCAATCAGTCAGCGCTAACGAGCATCATTCAGTCTGAGTACGATAACAGGGGGGTACCAGGTAGACTCTGGTACCCCCTCCCCGGTAAGTTGACCTCTGACCCCCCCTTACTCACTCAGATGGGTTGTTTCCACCAAGCTGCAGCAGATCTCCGCAGAGGAAACTTTGTGTTCTGGGAAAGCCCCGGACCCTCTGACACATGCCCCCCCCCTCAGTAATTGGGCCAATTACTTTTCCATAACAGCCCTGAAACACTTATGTGTGTGGCTAGAATAACAATTTCCACATGAAACCCTTGTTCATTCATAAGGGTCCGGGGGGGGGGGGTCTGCACCCGTCACAGGTCCGTAGAGACGAGCCGCTATGACATCAGAGGTTAAAGCTGTTCGGCTCCATCTTCATCACCTCCACCGCTCACTTCACGGAGTCCTCAGTTCTGACCTGTAACCATCGCTTCAACTGCTTTCACTTTCTCTGTTTGATCTGTTACGTGTCTCTGTAATGATCTTTATTTGACACAATGTAGATTATCGTCATTATTAGAATAATCATTTTGTCATTTTTATAAAGTCTTCAGATTATTGTTCATATCTCTGTGGTTTGAATCACAAAGCAGTCGGACCGAAGAGACGTTTAAATAACTTTATTGATACCCTCTGTAAGGATGACGTCGTGCTACACGCCCTGATTTGATTGGTTGATGAGGCGATAAGGAGCGCGATGACAGCAGACGCCCCGCCCATCCGAGGGGAGCACGTAGGGCCCAGCCACACCCGCTGACAGGGGAGGGGTCGAAGGTCAGTCTGCTCCACCCAAAACCACCCGGCTGCGCCCTCCTTCTTCTCCACCTCCTTGTATGGAGCATGTTCCTCCACCTCCACCCGCCATAACTCCTCCCCCTTCCCTCCGCGGTGTGAACTGTTCACCTCAACTAAGTACTACGAGTACTACCTCACTGATAGCTGTGTACATGTACACTGATAGTGGTGTACATGTACACTGATAGTGATGTACATGTACACTGATAGTTGTGTACATGTACTACCTCACTGATAGCTGTGTACATGTACACTGATAGTGGTGTACATGTACACTGATAGTGATGTACATGTACACTGATAGTGATGTACATGTACTACGCTTTGAGGAGAAGCTCCTCCCTGAATCCAAACATCTCCTCCAGAAGGGACACATTGAATAACTGGGACGAAGCAGCAGGACAAACACACACTTCCTGCAGGTTAACGAGCTGCACTCGACCACCTGTTGACGTTTCTGTCTTTAAACCAACATCACGTCCGAGGTCGTCGGCGGCTACGGGAGCGAGACACGTGCAGCTCCAGTGGTCCCCAGAACAACCAGACGTGGGTCAAAACCACCAAGCAGAAGCTTCTTCTGAGCCGCTGTCACACAACTACACGGGATCTAAAATGTGGTGATTCACCCGAGTGCAGGTGTGAGTGCAGCCGAGGAGGAACAGGGTTCCTGGAGGAGTAGAAGTGGTGCGAGGTCTTGGACCTCGGTAACGAAGCACCTCTGGATCGCAGGACCCTCGAAACAAAGGGCCCGTCCTCCCCAGAGCTGCAGAACCACGATTTGCCCAGCGGGGGTCAATGACTTCCTGAGGACCCGAACGCTTTGTGCACAACCGCGCCCCCCCACCGGTACCCGAGTGCGTCTCCCCGTCGTCCTCAGTTGGTCCTACGCGGCGGCTTCGCCCGGAGACTCGTGGGAGGTTTTCAGAAACGTTCATTGGAGGAAAAAGGTGGAAACATGTGCCGTCTTTTCTCTCTGGGCGGAAGCGTCCAGCCGAGCGTTAGAAACATTATTTAACTTGGGAGCTGAAATATGACTGTGGGACATTGAGAAGATGCATCCCTAACATGCAATATGGGCTGCAGACCTTCGTAAAGTAGCACATTGGGATCCGAGCCGCCTGGAGATGAAGGACCTTTGGAACAGGGTTGGACGTTCACAATGAGCTCCGCGGGGAGCAGAACCCTCAACGCAGCGTCTCGCCGGCCTTCGACTCCCACAATAAAAGCAGCCGTTTACACTGAGCTCCTTTGTGTGCAGCCGTAACCGGCTTCCTGTCACAAGTGCTCTTTAAGGAGCTGCTCGCAAATAAGGGGAAAGCTGCAGCTCAGCGAGCGCTAATAGTTGGATCCGGCCCATAAACACGCGGCTGTGTATTAGAAGTGAGCGACGCATCAGAACCGGCGGCTGGAGGCCCATTTTTGTGCTGTTTGCTTTGGAGCGAGCGGCGCATACCGGAGTGAAGTCAGCTCAGACTCCATGTATTCGTAATGATTTTACATGTTTATGACTGTGACTCATTGAGAAGAATGTTTTCCATCGCCGAGTGAGGTCTTCTCTGCAGAACACCCACCGCTCCGTGTGCCACACACACACACACACACACACACACACACAGGTTGGGCGTTCAGCTCTTGTTTAGTGTTGATTTATATGTATAAACATGTATAAGTATATAAACTACACACACACACACACACACACACACACACACACACACACACACACAATGAGCCTGCTGCAGACTCGTGTTCCTGTGTGAACCTCATCAGCAGCCTCATGAGGTGGAGAACATCTCCCCCGTGTGGACGGAGCGGTCCGTTAGAGGCCTGTCAATCAGCGTTAGGCTCCGCCCTAAAGCATCCCGTCATTTGCTAGAGTCTGAACTCGTTTAGCACGTTGTTGTATCGACCATCAGGACACGTGTCCTCATAGGAGGTGCAGAATGTGGTGACTGAGCTCGTGTACATTAAATAATTCTGACGACACAAAGAAGAACTGTTGGGGTGTGAAGCTACGGCTGATTAGAACTAGTCGGTTCAAATGAAGGACACAACTGCGATGTGGGTAAAGATCAGTTTCTTTATTTCCTCGAGCACAAAGGGAACTTTTAGAAGAAGGTGTTGGGTCTCTTGGTGGTGAAGCGAGGTTTGTGCTGGCGACGGAGCACCCGGTGGGGGAGGGGGAACTTGATCTTTGAGTCCTGCAGGGATCCAGAGAAGAGAGCGTTGACTCGTGTGCAGAGAGACGGTTAAGAGGACACAGAGGGCGAGGACGACGAGGACTCACGTGGAACTGCTTGATGGCCGGTCTGCGGCACTTGTTGGCAGCGATGATCTGGACCTTCATGATCTGGATGGAGTGAGCGCGAGCGCGATGGCGAGCTCCCATATCACGGTCTGATGACACGAGACACGAGTCAGCATGAAACCGTTACCATGGAGACGGGAATATACAGAATGTCGGGATAACTAAATTCTAAACTTTTGCTTCTGAGTAATTGAAGGAAAACTTGTACACTTGTATTTTATCCCACAATGAATCAATGAGAAACTACTTCACGACTCATGTTCTCAAAACGGGAAGTGAATCATCTGAAGAGGCTTCACGGAGGACTCCAACAGGAGCAGGACAGCGTGCACTCACAGCACTGGGTGACGGCTCCAGACGTGGTCAGGTCTCTGTACTCTCTGTACATGTTGTGGGTTCCACTGCGAGAGTCGTAACGCAGCCAGATCCCAAAGTTCTTCACCTTCTGAGGAGTTTTCTCGTGAACCTGAAGGCATCACGACATCAGCACGTCAGTCACATGGCGGAAAGCTAACAGACAACAAACCAGTAGGTGCTGCTTAGATTAGTTTCTCTGGGAATTTGGGGCTTATCTGGCAAACAGTCTGACAAATGAGTGACTTGACTTTAGCAACATCACCTTTCATTCAAATAGGAATGCGGAGAACAAGATAAAGTTTTGGCGGAATGAGAACTTTCCCCCTTAAATAGCACGATCCTTCGTGAGCAAACAGGCTCCAGACAGGAGAACAGGGGCTTATAGGTACAAAAGAGGCGTTCAAAGACCACTTGTAGACCCCTGGTTTCACTTTCAGAGACACGGCGGCGTCGTGAAAGGCGACAAGGATCACGTTCATGTTGGCACGCCACACAAAATCACACCACTGAGCCGGCGTGCGCTTTGGGTTTGGGTGCCGATGGAGACGCGAGGTTTTAATTCACGTTCCAACAGGACGTGTAGAAGCGTTCTGATCTCTACAGCAGAGACAAACTAAAACATTAACACATCTGTGCGATAAGCGAGACGGCAGTTCAGACGTGGTGTGTTCAGGGACCTACCAGGCCGCAGTAGACGGTCTCTCCAGAGGCCTTCTTCATCTTCCTCAGCTGGGAGACGAAGTACCAGAAGCGGGATTTGGCCACCACGTGGTTGGGGGCGAAGATCCTCATGCGGTACAGGGGGGGGGCCGGGTTCTTGGCAGAGGGCAGCAAACGCCCAATGACTTTGTACTCCCGAAGCTGCGTTGGAAGGAATCACATGAAAATCAGACACGTCGAGGCGTTCAAAGACCACTTGTAGACCCCTGGTTTCACTTTCAGAGACACGGCAGTCGTGAAAGGCGACAGGGATCACGTTCATGTTGGCACGCCACACAAAAGCACACCACTGAGCCGGCGTGCGCTTTGGGTTTGGGTGCACGAGGATGAGCTCTTGAGTCAGGATTCTGAAGAGGATCAAATACGCGTTGACATTGAAGCACATCTTTAGCAGGATACTCCTAACCCTTAAGTTAGCAGACGGTACTCTGCTTTGTTGGGGGAACTAATGAGTTCATTCAGGTGATTTAACCAAGTTGTGTTGCAGACGTTTCTCTGCTGCCGGTTAACCTTTTTGACAGGTCACCATGTTTATGTCAAAGAATTTGTACAGATGGTGTTTATCTTCCTGCATAAATTAACAAATGCTGGATGTGACTACAGAACTCATGTAAAGCTGTGATGCCAAGTTTACTGAGTCAGCACATTTAAATAACACGATTTAGCAGAGTCACTCATTTCCTTACACTATCAGTATTGGTGAGGCAGTATTAGTATTACACTCTGCTAACGTTAGCCTGTTAAAGCCAATTAGCTAAGTTACTCTAATAAAAGCAGCGTGACACTCCTCGTCAAACTCGTCTGGCAAGAGAAAGCCGGAGACCAGGTAATCTTTAATATCCTGGCTGGATTAATTGAAATATTTATCTATTGAGATTTGTCCCGTCTTAAACCCCGTTGAGGATTCGGGCCACCGGGAGACTCTTTAGCACCGCGTTAGCAGCTAGCGATAGCGGTTAGCTTTTGACAAAGCAAAGTTGTCGAAACGTTAGGCGTAGGAACCAGATTCGGTCAGTTCAACCCAAACGCTAAAGTCGATTAACTTGCAACGGTTTTAAACGGTTTTTGTGGCTCGTGGAGACACGTGAAGACGTTAACGGCTCTGAGCGGCGTCACACTTCACGACTCACTCGTCCACATGGTTCGACGGACGCCATGTTGTAGCCGCACGAAGGCAACGGGACAGAAAAACGACCAAATTAGCACTGTAATTTGGATTTCCGGTCAAAGTAAAAACACATCTTAGCCAAACACAACGTTATAAAGCGATATCGTTTCATTTGGACCGTGTTGCATCGGCAGATATCGGTAAATAAGAAGTTTTACGTACTGTGCCGGACGCCTTCATGGTGTCTCTCGCTCACTGCCACAGTAAAAGAGGAAGTAGCAGGGCGGAGCCTGGCAACGTCATATGCACCACGCGGAGGATGGACATCCGGGCACTTCAGGGGCGGCTTCGTAGATATATATAAAGGCTAGCTGTCTTACGGCGGAGCTCCACACATGGCGGCCATCTTGGTACAGTGAGCTCCGTCACACATAACATTGTGTTGGTAGTGGTATATGTTAACATTTTACATTTTTAAATAATAATAAATAAATAATTGTCAACCGATTTTTAAACGGTTTAGTATGTTACAAACGTCAGATATGTAGTTATAACACCGGATACTTATGAGTAATGTTCTGTTTAATTTTATTTTGGTATGAAAATCAGGAATCAGGATCAGGAATCAGGAAACATTTAGTGCCATAATATGTCAGACATACAAGGAATTTGACTTGGCGGTAGACAATGGACGACAAGACAACAGTACAACAGTGCACAAAGAATAAAATAATATATAATGCTATGGGTTAGTTTAAAATAAAAGTTAAAGTTAAAAATATTTAAAAATAAAAAAATAAAAAGTTAAAGTGGCATGTGCAGTGTGAGGGGGAGTGACTGGTGGAGTGTTATAGTCAGTCAGTGGGGGACCGGCTCTGTTGATGAGCCCGACTGCCGACGGGAAGAAACTGTTGGTGTGGTGGGAGGTCTTAGTCTTGATGGACCTCAGCCTCCTGCCAGACGGAAGGGGCACAAACAGGTTTTGTCCGGGGTGAGAGGGGTCGGCTACCATCTTTTTAGCTGCTTCAGGGTCCTGAAAGCGAACAAGTCCTGCAGGGACGGCAGATTGCAGCCGATCAGCCTCTCTGCAGAGCGGATGACACTCTAAAAACCCATGGTTATAATCATAACAGTAAGTAGTGTCATAAATACATCGCTGTATAGGGTAGGAATTTCAACATGGAGCATTTCTTGATGTGTATTTGTAAAGGGAAATCTTGTACCTATTTTAGAACATTATTCTATTTTTAAGAATATAACATAATTATGCATAGTATGTATGTAGTCTCATAACTACATATCTGACGTTTATAACAAACCAAACAGTGTAAAAATTGGTTGAAAGTTGAGCAGGGTATGGTTATTTAAAAAATCCATGTATCACTACCAACACAATGTTATGGGTGAGCGAGCTCACTGTGGCAAGATGGCCGCCGTGTGAGACATCTGGCCTTCATATGTATCTAGTCAGTTGTATTTCCACCCTAACCTTAACCCAACAATGTTTAATTTCCATATGAGGGATTAAATGTTTTGATATAGTTAATAATACTTTTGTGATGTCTAGTAGCAGTTTTATGAGTTAAAACATGCATTTAATGGTCTAATAAATGTTCTTCTAATATTAGAATAGAGGAACGAGACAGAAAACAACTTCAGTCTCTTGAACGTTAGCAACTTAATTTTACGCCATATATTACATATAATACACACGTGGTTATAACACAACAATGTTTAACAGTAATAATTACTATAGTAAACATGACATACATTTCATATTGTAGAAAACTCTTCCGGCGTGACCCGGATGTTAACTGGTGTGACCCGGATGTTAGCCGAGTGGACACGCCGCCGCTACTGTTGCGTGAAGTCTGACCGACGCGTGAGATATCTGGATGGTTTTCCGCGGCGAGCTGACGCGCAGGAAAACGCAGAGAAAACGCGGATGAGACAAGTTGATTAATTAAGGTCGGTTGTACACAACGTGGTGTTTGTGTCTCATTCGCCCGGTTCAGTGTACTAACGGACGGCTAACGTCAGTTTGTCACGGTGAGATCTCCAAAGCGGGGATCGAGGTGACGTGAGCGTGATACGCGGGGTTAATAAACAACACATTTGAAGTTATGTAGCGTGAATGGATCCCACTCTCTCTGTGTGAGCATCAAGGAAAGCTTCCCGGGAACGACTTACAGCGTCAGGATGAATCCACAAAGCCTGCTAGCTATGGAGCTATCCGGCTAACGCTAGCTTGAGTTGTGTCCAGTTAAGATGTTAGCATGTTAGCACCGCCCTGTAGCTAACAACTAGTGGAGATGTAAGCACGTTCAGCACCGGGGGGGTAGCGAACAGCTGGTGAAGAGGTTAGCATGTTAGCAAGTTTAGCACCAACTATCAACTTTACTTTGAGGAGCGGTCACACGTGACGTCCTCGCGCCCCTTTAAAGCTCAGTGCACGTGTCGGTGTTGACATGGATCCTCTCTGAACGTTGCATCCCGGAGAGTAAACATTCATTCATTCATTTGTCAAATGAAAACAAAGCTAAGCTGACGTCACGCTGACAGGTGTGGCGCGTCGTTCACCTGTGACAGTTTGCCGACCCAATGGAAGTGTTCACATTCACATTACTGCAGTAAATTAACAAGTAATCACTGCGTTTTACAACTTTTGTTTAGTTAAGCAACGTGCTGCCTCGAGCACCTTGTGGCTTTTATAACACGGTTACCGGCGACATAAATAAACGTAAACATCTGCCTTCCAGCTGTAGGCACCAAACGCTGTGTTTCAGTAGCCAGAGAAACGTCCCAGACTGTCAACAAACAGACGCAACAAAAACAATCTGGAACTGTAACATTATTGGACATGAAGTACAGCCTCTGCTTTAATAATGTACACCTCGTGACTCGCTCTCAACCAATCAGAATGCTGGATTTAATCTACACATATTATAATTGTATTTTAAACAAACTCCACCCATGTGATGGTGTTGGAGGGGGAACATGTTGGAATAGCGACTCTTCCTGTTGTCCTCGTGCACTTTGCTGCCAACTCTCCATCATTTGACGTGTTTGAAAGGCCAACAGTGTCCACGTTTAGAGGGACGTTTTCAAACCACTGTCTTCTAGGGACGCCGTGGTGGACAGCCCTGATATACACGTGTACACACACTCATCCAGTCTTTCCCTCCCGCCCCAGATGAGCGAGATCTGCCGTCCGGCAGCAGAGAGGAGAGAAGCGTCTTTGGAGGGCAGCTAACCCACTGATGGCCTGCCAGTCGGTCTGTGCAGTCATGGACGAGCAGGCCCTGCTGGGGCTCGACCCCAACGCCGACGCCCGCTACAGGCACAGGGTAGGACGCCACTTCACCGGGGGGGTCATCACGTTACCTTCAGGTCTAAAACGATGACAATCTAAATGTTAGAAACAACAGTATAATAAATGTGTTCCTGGTTTGGTTTGACTTCATGTTACTTTTTGTTTTCCTTAAGTGTTGCATCCCATTTAGTATTTTTGATATCATCCCTTTACATTTTTAAACAGCGTAGCATTCCCTCTGTCTACTTGCAGAGAAGTTTAGGGGTTAAAACTCCACCAACCATCACTGGGTGCATTGAGGAGATAAAAGAGACACCTGTGATCTGTTTAATCAGATGGAATATTTATATGATCTATTTACACACTGAGGGCATATTGTGTATTTCGTTTGTAGCATCATCTTAAACTTCTTTCAAGAATTCTGATGCTCCGTTAAGGAGGATTTCTTTGATGAGGGACGGTGGACCTTAATAAAACTCACTGCCAGTAAAGACACGAGGAAATGTACTGTGGAACAAACATCAAGTCTGTTATGAGAAGTGTTGGACTAGTTGCTGCTGTTGTACCATAAATGACTCGTTCCTTTAATGTCAGAATAAAACCAAACGTGACGCTTGTCTGTCAGAAGACTCGTCTTCTTCTTCTCTGGTTTTGACGAGTCTTTTTACACGTCCTCGTTGGCTCAATCGGTTCTAGTTATTGAAGGTGGTGATGATGATGATGATGATGAAGGTGGTGGTGGTGATGATGATGAAGGTGGTGAGGATGATGAAGGTGGTGGTGGTGATGATGATGAAGGTGGTGAGGATGATGAAGGTGGTGGTGGTGAGGATGATGAGGGTGGTGGTGGTGATGGTGGTGAGGATGATGATGAAGGTGGTGAGGATGATGATGACGGTGGTGAAGGTGAAGGTGATGGTGGTGAGGATGATGATGAAGGTGTTGGTGGTGAGGATGATGATGAAGGTGTTGGTGGTGAGGATGATGAGGGTGGTGTTGGTGAGGATGATGATGAAGGTGTTGGTGGTGAGGATGATGAAGGTGGTGACGATGAAGGTGATATGACTGTGTTCAGGCCATGGCTTACTTTGAGCAGCTGAAGGAGTCTCAGGACGCGTGGGAGGTCTGCGCCGACGTCCTCGCCAACGGGCTCTACAGGTGAGTGTCGACCTCCCACCTTTCATCAGAGATTCCCCCCCGACCACGTTCACGCCTTCTTCTGTGGTTTGTTACAGCGACGACCACGTCAAGTTCTTCTGCTTCCAAGTCCTGGAGCACCAGATCAAGTTCAGGTGTGTGTGTGTGTGTGTGTGTGTGTGTGTGTGTGTGTGTGTGTGTGTGTGTGTGTGTGTGTGTGTGTGTGTGTGTGTGTGTGTGTGTGTGTGTGTCCTGCTCTCCTCTCATCACGTGGGCGCTGGTTGTGTTTGCAGACACGCTGGTCTGAGGTCAGTTCAGCAGCAGCTGATCAGAGAGACTCTGATGAAGTGGCTCCAGTCGCAGGTACGTGATGTTTGCAATAGAAGAGCAGCAGTTCTACTCACAGACTCCTTTATATATATATATATATATATAGACTACTTTATATACTCCTTTATTTATATATATATATATATATAGAGAGAGAGAGAGAGAGCGAGTTCTGCTTTTTACTTTAGTAGAGTTTTACTTTGCAACAAATTCAACTAATATAAGAATTATTCACATCTTCTCGTTGTCCCATCGGCTGTATTTATTTACTTTGACACAAACACACTTGTCCATATGTTGTCTGATGATTGACATGTGCTCCTGGTCTCCAGCTGATGAGCCCTCAGCCTGAGAAGCCCTTCATCAGGAACAAGGCGGCCCAGGTCTTCGCCCTCACCTTCGTCATGGAGTACCTGACTCTGTGGCCCAAGTTCTTCTTCGACGTCCTGTCCCTGGTGGGCCTGAACCCCCACGGCGTGGACGTCTACCTGAGGACCCTCATGGCCATCGACGCCGAGGTGGTGGACAGAGACATCCTCCACCTACCTGACGTGAGCCTGCGATGACCTGTGACCCTTGTCCCCCCCCCGGGAGGCTCTTGGTTGACGCTGTGCCGTGTGTCCTTCAGGAGACGCGTAGAAACACGTTGATCAAAGACCACATGAGGGAGCAGTGCATCCCCCACCTGGTGGAGTCCTGGTTTCAGATCCTGCAGACGTACCAGCACTCCCACCCGGAGCTCACCTGCCAGTGTCTGGAGGTGGTGGGGGCCTTCGTGTCCTGGATCGACCTGAACCTCATCGCCAACGACCGGTGGGTCAGGATGACAAAGCTTCCTCTCAGGGGAAACCTATCGATGAATACGTTTCCACGGTGACCTCTCCTCACTGTCACCAAAGAAATGTTTGTACCAAAGTTGCAAAAACAATATTCTTGCGCCAAATGTGTAGAAGAACAGAGGAGAAAAGCACCTAAAAGTGTCGCACTTGCCAATAAATAGTTTAGCACTGAAGTTGTAAACAAAGGAAGGAGGAAATGTTGACGCCTCGTGTCCCGCGTTGGTCTTCAGCTTCGTCAACCTGCTGCTGAGTCACATGTCGGTGGCGGAGCTGCGAGAGGAGGCCTGCGACTGCCTGTTTGAAATAGTCAACAAGGGGATGGACCCCGTGGACAAAACCAAGCTGGTGGAGTCTCTGTGTGGAGTCCTGCAGTCGGCGGGCTTCTTCAACGTGGACCAGGTGGACCTCCTGCTTCATGAATATGAACAAATATCAAACACACTTGAGAGACAGTAGTTTAGTTTAGTCTCCTTTTTTCCCCTTCCTGTCCCGTCAGGAGGAGGACGTGGACTTCCTGGCCAAGTTCTCCCGGCTGGTGAACGGGATGGGCCAGAGTCTGGTGCTCAGCTGGACCAAACTGTCCAAGACCGGCAACGTGAAGGACGCGGCGGAGACGCTGCAGGCGCTGGAGACCAAAGTGCCGCTGCTGCTGCGACTGCTGGTGCACGAGGACGACGACATCTCGGCCAACATCGTGGGCTTCTGCTACGAGTACCTGCACGTCCTCAAGCAGGTGAGGACCACCTGGACCAGTCACAGGCCACTGTCGTATTGTCTATTCAAGGCACATATGTGGATATCAGATGTCCGTGGATATCAAATAGTGTTTCACACTATTAGTCCTGAATATTCTGGCTTACTTTTAAATGTATTTCTCAGCTCCCCCAGCTGACGGACCAGCAGCAGACAAACATGGAGGTGAGTGTTTAGAAGCGACGCTGTGCCATATTTGAGCCTCCGTTTGATGTCTGAGATGATTGACGCGCTGCCTCTCGTCCTGCAGGCCGTCCTGCTGGCTGTCATCAAGAAACTGACGTACGACGACGAGTACAACTTTGAGAACGAGGTGAGCGAAGAGGAGGCCACGTTGTGGTGGTGGACTGGGGACCGCGTGGCTCAGATGGTGTGCGTTGTCCTCAGGGAGAAGACGAGGCCATGTTCGTGGAGTACAGGAAGCAGCTGAAGATGCTGTTGGACCGACTGGCTCAGGTCTCTCCTGAGCTGCTGCTGAAGGCCGTACGGCGAGTCTTCAACGGCACCATGCAGTGAGCGCCCAGCAAATGCTGTTCATTGCTTTATTTACATCATTTCTTTCCTTATTTCTTTTCTTATGTATAAAATCAGTTGGAAATAGAAAACTAGTCCTACAAACTCTTCCTTCTAACATTAAAATAGATCCTAAAGAAATAAACCTTTTAACCTAAAACATCACATACGTGTAGAAAAAGGTGCGATGAACCCGTTGCTCTCTTTTACCTGGCAGACGGCGCCCTTCATGGAGGTGGAGGTGGCCGTGCGGCTGCTCTACATGCTCGGCGAGGCTCTGCCGGCGTCTCATGGCGCCCATTTCACCGGAGACACGGCCAAGACCAGCGCCCTGCAGGACATGATGAGGACGGTGGGTCACCGGGTCAGGCTGGTGAGACGGGCCTCGCGTCGCCACGGTTACGCCCACTCTGTGTGTTCTCCCCCCACAGCTGGTGTCGTGCGGCGTGAGCAGCTACCGGCACAGCTCCGTGTCGCTGGAGTTCTTTGAGACCGTCGTCAGATACGACAAGTTCTTCCTGGTGGAGCCTGAACACATCCCCAACGTGCTGGTGAGAGCGCTAAACACGCTAAACACGCTAACACACGATCATACACATACAACATACAACGTGTTGGTACGCAATGAGACACACATTGAACTCCTGTATAAGTGTGTGTCTGTGTGACTCATCCCGTGTTGCGTTCACTGTCAGATGGCGTTTCTGGACCAAAGAGGACTGAGACACAGCAGCCCAAAGGTCCGCAGCAGAGTGGCCTACCTCTTCTCCCGATTCATCAAGACGCTGCAGTGAGTCACTCAAAGATAAGCAGAGACATCATCCACACGGTTCACGTGTTAAAGCTGCATTCTGTGCAGTGAGTCACTCAAAGATAAGCAGAGACATCATCCACACGGTTCACGTGTTAAAGCTGCATTCTGTGCAGTGACCAGCAGGGGGCGACTCCTCTGCTCCCATAGACGTCTATGAGGAAATGACTCTACTTCTCTGTAGTGACCAGCAGGGGGCGACTCCTCTGCTCCCATAGACGTCTATGAGGAAATGACTCTACTTCTCTGTAGTGACCAGCAGGGGGCGACTCCTCTGCTCCCATAGACGTCTATGAGGAAATGACTCTACTTCTCTGTAGTGACCAGCAGGGGGCGACTCCTCTGCTCCCATAGACGTCTATGAGGAAATGACTCTACTTCTCTGTAGTGACCAGCAGGGGGCGACTCCTCTGCTCCCATAGACGTCTATGAGGAAATGACTCTACTTCTCTGTAGTGACCAGCAGGGGGCGACTCCTCTGCTCCCATAGACGTCTATGAGGAAATGACTCTACTTCTCTCTTGATTTATTCCCTCAGTAAACATTGTAAACATGAGTTTATGGTCTCAGTCTCTAGTTTCAAGTCTTCTTTTAGTAAATGATGGTCCATTGGGAGTCAACCAGCCCATGAAAGCAGGGGAGGCTTTAGGGCGGGGCTACATGTGATTGACAGGTCTCTGATATTGTGTTTATGGTTTGTATTTGTATTGTATTTTTAAGTTTTTCATGTTTTTTCTGTGTCAACAGTAAACACATGACCGCCTTCGTCGAGGACATCCTGACCCGGATCCAGGACCTGCTGGAACTGGCTCCTCCTGTATGTATTGACACCGGGAGGATGTGACCCTCTGACCTCTGTCACTAACCCCCCCCCCCCTTCATTGTGCCTCCCAGGAGAACGGCCTCCTGGCGCTGCTGACCAGCGACGACCAGCTGTTCATGTTTGAGACGGCGGGCGTGCTGATCGTGAACGCGGAGTGTCCGGCGGACAGGAAGCAGGCGCTGATGAGGAGCCTGCTGCTGCCGCTGATGGACGCCTTCCGCTTGGTGCTCGCCAAGTTGCCGCGGGAGACGGACGACGAGCGGCGAGCCGCGCTCGTTGACTGCCTGAGCCACGCCGTCGGGTTCGCCAGGTGAGGAGAAACATCCAACGTGGGTTCGACGAGTTCAAGGACCATCGGAAACGCGACAATCTGACGATAATTTTAAAAGTGTCGATAAGATCGTTTATTTTCCTATTTGATTCCATCCCACCTGCTGGTCTTCTGCTCCTGCAGAGGACAAAACACGTTGAAGTCATTTCCTCATCTGGCAAAAGAAAGATCGGTTGATTTGAATCAATCCAGCTTCTTTTAAACGTTGGGTTCACACAGCATGGAAGCAGTGAACACACCATGATGATGGAAATAAGCCCCTCCCCCAAACCACTTGTGTGAATGAAGCCAATTATAATAATAATATTGTAATTATGAAGTCAACTGAAACACGACTCGTTGGCAAATCAGTACATAATGAGAATAATAAAATCCCCCCCCCGCGCCCCCCCAGCCGGACCAGCAAGGCCTTCAGCAACAAGCAGACGGTGAAGCAGTGCGGCTGCACCGAGGTGTACCGGGACTGCCTCCACGCCTTCCTGCCGGCGCTCAGCTGCCCCGTGCGGCGGGGGTCGCTGCGCAGCTCTGTGCGCTCCTTCCTGCACCGCATGATCATCTGCATGGAGGAGGAGGTGCTGCCCTTCATCCCCAGCGCCTCGGAGCACATGCTGAAGGACTGCGAGGCCAAAGACCTGCAGGAGTTCATCCCGCTCATCAGCCAGATCACCGCCAAGTTCAAGGTACGGGGGTCGGAGGGCAGGGGGGGTCGTGACCTCCATGTAGAGAAGGATGGGTGATAACCGAGTCTGCCCGCCCCCCCAAACCCCCCCTGCAGCAGCAGGTGTCTCCCTTCCTGCAGCAGGTCTTCATGCCGCTGGTGCTCGCCATCTTTGGCGTGCTGGCGCGGCCGGCGGAGGACAACGACCAGGCGGCGGCGCTGGAGAAGCAGATGCTGAGGAGGAGCTACTTCACCTTCATCCAGACGGTGGCCGGGAGCGGCATGAACGAGGTGATGGCCAACCAGGGTGAGAACATTCTATCCTGTATGCGAACTGTTGCTCAGGCTCTATGCTAAGCTAAGCTAAGCTAACGAGACAGAAGCTTAAATCGCCCCTTCAGGAGCGGAGAACATTGAGCGCGTCGTCTTCACCATCATCCAGGGCGCCGTGGACTTCCCCGACCCCATCGCCCAGAAGACGTGCTTCGTGGTCTTGTCCCGGCTGGTGGAGCTGTGGGGTGAGAAGAGTGTGTGTGTGTGTGTGTGTGTGTGTGTGTGTGTGTGTGTGTGTGTGTGTGTGTGTGTCGTCTTGTCCACTCTGGTGACCTCACTTCCTGTCGCCCTCTGGTCCAACCTGCAGGGGGAAAAGACGGCATGCCGGGGTTCCCCGACTTTGTCTACAAGCATGTTGTTCCCGCCTGTTTTCTGGCTCCCCTCAAGCCGACCTTTGACCTCTCAGACGCGCAGACCGTCCTGGTGAGACCCCCCCCACACACACACACACACACACACACCCTTGGAGCGGTTCAGGCGAGCGCAGGTGACAGCGCTGTGCTCTGTTTCTCCAGACGCTGTCGGAGTGCGCGCTCACGCTGAAGATGATTCATCTCAAGAGGGTAAATATCGACGATCAACAGCTTCTTCTTCTTCCCCTTTTCCCTAAAAGTGACCTTTTTTCTTTCAGGGGCCGGAGTTCATCCACTTCCTGCAGCAGGAATATTTACCTTCACTCCAGGTGTCGCCGGAAATCTCTCAGGTGAGTCTCCATGACGACGGGGATCACGTCACTTCCTGCTTAGAACACATTAAGCTTTTCTTATATTTGATCCCACAGGAGTTCTGTCAAGTCCTTCAGCAGCCGGACGTCAAAGTGCTGAAGAGCTACATGAAGGTACGAGTGCTTGATGCTGATCGATGACCGGAGCCACCGATTGGTTGCTGACTCAGTTTATTGATTGCAGGCGTTCTTCCAGCGAGCCCGGCTGTAGGAGACGGCGAGTGGAGGACTCGTGCTACAGGAAGTGACACGAACACCACAGGGAACGCTTCAGCACCGAAGTGGAGCTGAAGGACTGAAGGACGTCCTCTGGAGGTCACACGTGGAGTCAGATTGGTGTGAAGCATTCTGGGAAAAGCCTGAAACGAAGCTTTTCTCCAGTAAAACCATCACTTTTCACCACGTTGGACTTTTCTTTGGAGGGAAAAAAAAGGGCTGAACTTTATTTGATTCAAAATGTTGAGGATTTAGTTTGAAGTGAAACGGCTTCTCCTTCCTGCGTATTATTTCACAAGCGGACGTTTGTTTCCTCTGAAAACGTCTAATATCGTAACTTGAGATGGAAAGGAAAACACAACATGTTACGTGTAAATACGGTTCTGAGGGTTTTCTAATCTTCATTCCCATCTGGAAGATCAATACTGCCGCAAAATGATTATTAAATAACCGTAAAGTTCTTGCTGCCGGATTAGAATTAATATCTCTACATTTTGACTTCCAAGTGTCTTCATTTCAACTGGTGATTGATTTTGTTTTTCTTGATGTTTCACTAATTGTGGAGCTTCCATTTAAACACAATGATTTTTTGTGCATAAGCGGCTTGATTTTAATTTTCCATTCAAGAAGTCGTGACGTTTATGGTCGATGTCATCGATTCTGTGGGCGGAGCCTGAAGGAGAACCAACGGGTCTCGCGTATAAAAAGGATTGACATGTAGAATATCACTAAAGTACTTTAAATATAGTAAGAGCTTTGGTTCTTGCTAATGTGTTAGCTTAGCATAAAGACTGGGAGCGGGGGGAGTGCTAGCCAAGAGCAAAAGGTCGATAACTTCAGGTTACGTTGCTTCGGAGAGCAGAATAAACGTCTCGTGGATCCTAAATGTCGTACCGTGTTTTCAGTTACGGACTCGAGGCGGTCAGAGTTCTGTTCATGTTTTATTTTATTTATCCCTCAAACACGTGAGGTTTTGTGTTCCAGTATTAAAGAACAAAGAACGGTTCTGCATCAGGTTTTATTCAATAAGTCTTCAGAACTGAAGCTTGAACGTCCACCTGCAGCAAAGACAAACCTTCTGTACCATTAAAGTCTTTAATCATGAATCAAGTCCCATTAAAGTCTTTAATCATGAATCAAGTCCATTCACTCATTTATGAACTCATTTTTATAATCTGCCAACCAAATTATAAAAAGGTAAAAGAAATTCATAAACAGATTAAGTTATTCAAAAACATGAAAAATAACTTAAATAGCTTCAATAACTTTGAAACATTTAGTTGACTTCCTCTTATTGAGATAAAAAGTGTCCAGTTAATTGACATTCATTTAACTCCTAAAAAGAAAAACTGTTTATTTTTGGATGAAATCTTTAGCTCCGCCCCACATGAGGGGGAGGAGCTTCAGCCTTTGATCACAGCGATTGGTCGCAGCTTGATGGCCTTCCTGCTGATCCCGGCGTCGTGACACGTGTTCACCACGTCCGTCACGTTCTTGTACGACTCCGGAGCCTGAAAACAAATAATCGGATTCATACAAGAAACCATCCCGAATTACTTTTAATGAATTCCTGTTCTGACTGAAATCTAATTATCCGCACCTCCTCCATCACCAGTTTGGGCGATGCCACCCGGATGGCGATGCCCTGGTCAGCCAGCTTGTCCAGGACGTCCTGGAAGTCCAGGTTCCTGCGGGACTTCGCTCGGGACAGAGCGCGCCCCTGCAGCATTTAAAGTCATTGATCACGTGATTGATATTAGGGTTAGTGGGAAGTCCCGCCCCTTCCTGTTGCATGTGGGACCTTTCAGAAAACAAATACGTACGATAATTCCAGAGGGACAAATATTTCTCTGCGTGATAAGTGGCAGGAATTATGTTTCTCAAAAGCGGTTTGCGCATCGAGAAAGTGATATAACATGGCCGCAAGCTAGCATGCTAGCAGCCACATGGCCGCAAGCTAGCATGCTAGCAGCCACATGGCCGCAAACTAGCTAGCGTGCTGATATCTCGCTTGTAGATCTTTCATGTTTAATCAGAGGATTCAAGTGCATAAAAACCTCATGTGTCTCTCGCCGTATTTTGTCTGTGGTCAACAGGAAGTGGGCGGGGCTTCCACACGCCACAGAGACAAAAGGGATGTTTTCTAAACACGGGCTCATACCGCTCCGTGACAGGTAGTGCCGAACGTCTCCGTCATGCCTTGCTCCGTCCCGGTCAGGACGTAGCTGCAGGTCCCCATCGTCCCTCCGATCAGCACCGGCTGACCTGTGAGCTGAACCCCCCCAAAAAGACGAGACACCGTCAAACACCACCGTCCCCACAAGTGCGTCTCGCTCTGGTCTCTACAGGTGTCTCTGGTTGCCGGGTTACCTGGTAGTCCACGGGGATGAGCGGGTGGTGGGGGGGGAAGGCCCGGGTGGAGCCCTTGCGGTGGATCAGCAGCGTCTTCTGCCTCCCGTCCACCATGTGCTCCTCCACCTTGGCGATGTTGTGGGACACGTCGTAGATGACGTGCATGTCCAGGTCGTCGGGGGTCGTGGCGAACACTTTGGAGAAGGCCTGAAATATGATAATGAACTCATCATGGACGATGATGTCATCACCATGAGTCACTGACGCAGATGGAGTTTTAGAACATATAATAATACTACGTCAGTGGTACTAGAGGAGCTTCATGCAGTACATGTTAGTAGTGTTATAATAGAACTATTACAGTGTAGTAAGAAAAAGCTCCACTGGTTGGTTTCTTTTACAGGCTTTTCTTACACAACAACAAACACTTAATATATATATATATATATATATATAACTCGGCGGCTGGTTAAAAGTATACGTCACCCAGGTGCATGCTGGTCCTACACCTGTCCTGACAGAACCTCAACTGGTCTGAGGCAGTGTTGCGTGTCCTCAGTGTGTCTCGGGTCTCTCCAGGTGTGAGCTCACCTGTCTGGTGAGGAAGGTCATGGACGAGCGGTTGACCCATGCGTAGTTGCCGGCGGCGGCCATTCCCTTCAGGTAGTCCTGCCCCTCCGGAGACGTGATGCGAGCGCACGCCAGCTGGCGGTCGTTCACCGTGATCTTATCTCTCTTCATCGCCTTCTCCATGGCAACCAGCGCGTCTGTCAACAACACGTATTTAGACGAGGTCACGTGACCCTGAACCTCTATAAATCCTTCATCATTTGACAGACTAATATGCGTTTATTTGTAGTATTCCTGTATTGACCACGTGTAATCAGTGTTAATCTTCACATCGTTATACTTATAATATACTAAATTCATCTTTAACGTACTTACTGATACGTTGATGATATTCATTTGTAACTAATGCTCAAGATTAAACATGTGTGTAAATGAGCTCTGCTGGTGTCCTTTAGTAGATATCAAAGACGTCGTCCCCGTTATATTGACATGGTGCTTCTACCTGTGGCCACCTGGTGGCCCAGCCCCCTGCTGCCGCTGTGGATCATCACGCACACCTGCCCCTTGTGGTCGATGCCCATCTTCTTAGCGGCGTAGTCGTTGTAGATCTCGTCCACCACCTGGATCTCGGCGTAGTGGTTTCCGGCCCCCAGGGTCCCCAGCTTCAGACACAGCAGGGGAGCGTGTTAACGGACAGCTGATGCCCACGCGGGGGGGCGGGGCTGCAGGGACGTACCTGTGGCAGGCCCCTCTTCTTGGCCTTGGAGGAGACCTTGTTGGGGTCGGCCTGCAGCATCCGGCCGTACTCCTCACAGTGCTCCTTGTCCTCGGCCCAGGCGTACCCCTCCCTCAGAGACCAGTCCACCCCCATCTCCAGGGCCTCCTCCAGGTCCCTGCGGGGGGGTAGCACAGGTAGCTATGGTGACTCTGCTAACATAGGTAGACCGGTTACTACGGTAACTACGGCAACACAGGTAACTAAGGTAACACCGGTTACTCCGGTAACTGAGGTAACTAAGCGATGACACAGGTAGACGGGCCGGGGGCCGTGGTCCCCTCCTTACTTGGCCCCCATGGGGATGACCCCCTTGGAGCCGACGCCCACCGGGATGTGGTCGAACAGCGCCTGGGCCAGCTGCTCCTTCACCGGCTGCACGTCGCCCTCCTCCAGGTTGGTCCTCAGCAGCCGCACGCCGCAGTTTATGTCGAAGCCGACGCCCCCTGCAGCGTCAAACACACATCACCCCCCCTCCATGATGTCACACCATGATGACATTCATTTAAGAAATGATTAAAGTGAGGGGGGGGGGTCAGGTGACGTTACCTGGAGACACCACGGCGTCCGGGTCGCTCATGTCGAAGGCCGCCATGTTTCCGATGGCGAACCCGTACCCGGAGTGGACGTCCGGGAGCCCGATGGACCTCTGAGGGACGAGCGAACGCAGCGAGTCAGTCGGGCTGCAGGACCTCGGGGGCCTCCCCACAAACGGTCATGTGACTCACGTGCACGATCCCCGGCAGCGCCGCCACGTTCCCGATCTGCTTCATGGCGGGAAGGAACCCGCCGAAACCTGAGGGAGACAGAGAGGGAGAGAGTGAGGCGGAGGAGGCGGGGTCAGGGGAGAGGAAGAGGAGGAAGAGGAGCTGACCTCCTCCTCGACAGGCGTTACGGAGCTCCTCAAAGATCAGCTTCTCCAGAGCGTCGTTCACGTAGAAGTTCCCTTCGACCTGGAGGAACAAGGAGGTCATTTGAGGCTTGTGATGCTCACCATGATGTCATCAATCAGTGTTCAATCAATCAGATCTCTTAGAATGACAACGGCTCGTTTCAAAGCAGCGCTAAAGAGTTTAGAAACAGAAAAAGAGTTGAGCTGAAATGACCCTTCTGAAAAAATGTGCAATTCATAAAAAAGGAGAAAGAAAAAAAAGTGAATTTCTTTTTGTTGTTGTTGTTGTTGTTGTTGTGGTATTTGCCCACGCGCACATTCATACGTGCGTCCGGAGCACCGGAGTCACCGCCCCGTTCAGCTCGCCGAACCGTAAACTATATCTGGAGCGGTTTCTGACGTCATCACGGCTGGTAGTTGCGTCATCAGCAGGTTAGAACTTCATTGATTTCAGGGGTTACGTGCATTGAATCTTGTGACGACATCAGGTTGAAAGGTGTGATGTCATCCAGAGGGACTTCCTGCCTCGTAGCTTCGTAGCTAACCAACATGTGCTAACTGTCAGCTAACCAGCTAGCCACGTTAGCAGCTACAAGTCTCACCTGCATGTTGGGAACAAAACCCTTCTTGATCCTCCAGCAGTTGGTGCCGATCTTGTCCAGGTACTGCAGCTCATCGTTGTAACTCCGACTCATGGTTCCGATCAGAAAGACGTGTGACGTTACACGAGAACCGCTGCGTCGCTAGTTTAATGTGCCGGCAGCGCTACGGAAGCCCACGCGCGTTTGGACCTGAAAACGCGGTTGAGAAATGAGCCTCGCGGCGCAGGAAGCAGGTGACTTTATACTTGGTTCTCATCACGTTGTTTGCGGTGGTCGTGGACCACTGATGTAAACAACTGCAATAGTTTAACATCAAACTGGTGACAGGTAATGCATGTTAATGGAAATAAATCAGAACACATTCAGAAGACAACGGAAAAACTGTTAAACACTTTGTTTGGATCAAAGCAGCAGCTGATTTAACACATGAGACTCCAGGATTAATCTTAGGCCCCGTTAGCCCGGCTCTTAGCCCGGCTCTTAGCCGTTAGCCCGGCTGTTAGCCCGGCGTGGTTGTAGTTACAGATACAACAAGTTGAGCGGTTAGTCAAATTTGCGAAACGATCCAAGCAGAGCCGGACGTTCTGCCATTGACCTTCATCTGTTTTTCTAACTTCTTCAAGTTGCCTCGTGTAACAGTCGTTACATCATTGTCGTCACAACCCGAATCACTACACTTGGTTTAAGTTCAGGCTAATAACCGTAACTCTTATTTTTTCCTTTTTCTTCATGAAACATTTCCACTATGGGTTTTATTTTGAAAGTATCGGTTTTGACAACCGGAAGCAGTGTGGTTAGCTTTAGCAGGTTGACGCCGCTGTGTCGTTGTTTACAGATGATCTGGATTGAACTCGCTTCATCTCATCAGGCGAGTGTTCGTTTCTGCTCCCGCTGCTTTTATCTGCAACACCTCGGTGGAACGAGTGGTCTAGCTACGCTAGTTAGCATGAAGCTAACTAAGTTAACCAGCTGGGCTAGTTAGCATCAAGTTAACTAGCGAAGCTTCGTTGTTACGTAGCGACGTGAAACGTTAGCTAACGTTAATGTTCACAAACGAAACCGAAACTTTTAATTTCTTCTTAAATATGAAGCCGAATTCAATGACAAACTGTTTCCATATTATTATTTTCTATTATTTATTATTATTTTCCATTATTATCCATATTAACATTTTTCAATCATGTGTCGTTTTTTTATCATGTTCATAGCAAACTCTTTAGTTTTAAACCGTAGTTTACGAGCAATTAAAGTTATTTATTCTAAATATTTTTGTGTTATTATAAAACGCAGTTTGGTTTCATTCTGAACCCAAACTTCTAAAATCCAAACCGCCAAAACAACGTTAGTGACTCGTCATAAAAGTGAAAGATGGAGTCTTTATATCTGCTTTTATCCAATAGTATACAAAGTATATAGAGACTCCTGTAAAGTAAGAGCAGCAGATGTTCTTTGCACCAAACTCCATCCGATTCTAGTTTGGATCGAATCTGCTAAGAAGTCAAAGGTCACCAAGGCCCAAAGTGTGTGTGCAGCCCGGTGGCTCTGCTGCCGTGGCTCTAGTTGTGATATTACTGAGAATCTTAATGCTCCTGCAGTCGTCCTTCCCAGCATGAAGCTGCGGGTTCGGATCAACCGGCACACCAGCCGGGTGGAGGTACCGGGCGAAGCAGCCGGTCTGAAGGAGCTCACGGACATCGTCAGGGAGACGATACTGTCCTCTCAGGGACTCAGGTGAGACACCAGAGACAGGATGCAGTTCACTTTCGTTTAATATCTCAGTTTCACGAACAGATTTGTTCATGTTTTCTGTCTTCTTTCTATCTATGTGGTTGTATCAGTTCATTTAATGTTTGCTTTCTTCTTATTACATTCTAAGTAGACGGTTAATTACAGGCGTAAAGTATGAAGTTACAAGCAGCTTTTAAATGACGCACTTGTTTCTCTGCTGATGTGAAGCCGTGTTTCTGTGTTTCAGTGCCGACTCACACTTCAGTTTGTCTCTGAACGGCTCCACCCTTCTGACCGACTCGGGCCAGACTCTGTCCTCCTGCGGCATCGTCTCCGGAGATCTCATCTGTGTCGTCCTGCCCGAGTCAACAGCCGAGAGCGACGGGAGCGCCGCCGCCAGAACCACGGGAGACTCTGACAACCAGAACCAGCAGGTCCAGCAGGTCCAGCAGGTCCAGCAGGCTGCCACGACATCCAACCAGGTGAGGGAATGGATCAGGAGACAACCTCCGCTTCTTTAATGTGGAGCCAAAGATTCACGTCTTAAAGCTGCATTCTGTGCAGTGACCAGCAGGGGGCGACTCCTCTGCTCCCATAGACGTCTATGAGGAAATGACTCTACTTCTCTGTAGTGACCAGCAGGGGGCGACTCCTCTGCTGCCATAGACGTCTATGAGGAAATGACTCTACTTCTCTGTAGCGACCAGCAGGGGGCGACTCCTCTGCTCCCATAGACGTCTATGAGGAAATGACTCTACTTCTCTGTAGTGACCAGCAGGGGGCGACTCCTCTGCTCCCATAGACGTCTATGAGGAAATGACTCTACTTCTCTGTAGTGACCAGCAGGGGGCGACTCCTCTGCTCCCATAGACGTCTATGAGGAAATGACTCTACTTCTCTGTAGTGACCAGCAGGGGGCGACTCCTCTGCTCCCATAGACGTCTATGAGGAAATGACTCTACTTCTCTGTAGTGACCAGCAGGGGGCGACTCCTCTGCTCCCATAGACGTCTATGAGGAAATGACTCTACTTCTCTGTAGTGACCAGCAGGGGGCGACTCCTCTGCTCCCATAGACGTCTATGAGGAAATGACTCTACTTCTCAGTAGAGACCAGCAGGGGGCGACTCCTCTGCTCCCATAGACGTCTATGAGGAAATGACTCTACTTCTCTGTAGTGACCAGCAGGGGGCGACTCCTCTGCTCCCATAGACGTCTATGAGGAAATGACTCTACTTCTCTCTGGATTTATTCCCTCAGTAAACGTTGTAAACATGTATTGTCTTCTTTAAAACAGCATGATGTTCATTTAGTGGACTATGGTTCATGTAAAGTCAAACAGACCATAAAGCAGGGCGGGGCCTAGGTCTCTCACAGAGACGTCGTCAGTTAAGCTCCTCCTTCTCTGCTTACAACAAACCAAGATGTTGACGGACAAACGTCCTCTAGTCACCGATTACGGACTCGCGTGGTAACAAACCTCAGCTGACATGAACGTGTCTGACCTCGTTGTGTCTTCGTAATCAGTCGAGCAGTAGCAGACTGGCACCCACCGTACCGGGTCCCGAGCGGACCGGCCCGCCGCCCCCCCGCTGGGAGCCCATGCTGTGCAGCGAGGCGGAGGACGGCCGGGCGCCGGCCTCCCTGGAGCTCCTCCTCCACTCGGCCCAGACCTCCAGCCCCAGCGACGCCGTGGTGGTGGCCGGACACCTCCTGATGCTGGAGACGGGCTTCGTTCCTCAGGTGAGGGGGGGCAGCTCCTCCCATCCGAGGGGGCGGTCAGTGGGTTTCATGAATGAACTGTGTGTGTGTGTGTGTGTGTGTGTGTGTAGGCTGGCGAGCTGAAGGCCTCAGAGATGCCTGCAGGATGGAGGTCTCCAGGAGTCTACAAGCTGCAGTACACCCACCCTCTGTGTGAGGGCAGCGGGGCCTTGGTGGTGTCGGTGTGCATGGGCGCCGTGCTCGTCATCAACGGTCAGCTCACTCGTATACCCGTAGAATCCTAATGTCCGCTCACAGTGTGATTTCTGGTCAGGTCACATGACTGTGGGTCCGATGAATGACGGAGGATTTGAGGGGCTCAGATTTCATTGTTTTCACATAATCTGGTTAAAACAAAGAGACTGAAAATGAGAATGAAATTAATATAAGTTTTGGTTTCTTTGTGTTGGTCACACATGATGCATTCAAGGACCATCGGAAAGATGAAACTCACGATCAAAATAATACTTTCTGGCCTCTGGCTGTGATGAACGGTAAAAGGTATTACAGGCGGCCGGAATCAAATCTGGGTGCATTTTTAACATTCCTCTCTGTTGTTGCCGTAGCGACCCTGAAGGTGAACGAAACCGTCGACGCGGTTCGCAAACTGTGTGTGAACCCGTCGAGCTACGTGACGGACCAGCAGCCAGGTACTGCTCCCTGATTGGTCCACAGCTCCTGGTGGTGGTGATGATGATGATGTCACGTCTCTGTCGTTGCTTCAGGAAAAGGCGCCGCGGCGATCTACAGAGATCTACGTAAACTGTCCCGGGTGTTCAAAGACCAGCTGGCCTACCCTCTGATCGCCGCCGCTAGAGACGGTACCGCCCGCCGCCCACATGACGTCATCCGCTAAACACAGCGGCTCATCGCTCTGCTTTTAAATGTGCTGATATTAATATCAACATTAGTATTGATATTAATGTTGATATTTGTGTTGACGTTTACTAACTGGCTTCTCTTCGCTGCAGTTTGTCATTTATTCATTTCATTTGACAGATTTCTATTTTAAATGTAACTTTTCTGCAGAAAAGCTTTTCTAATGAACCAAAGAATACACAGAGAATTCAGTAGAATAAAATGATTTCGAATGATTTTTGTTTCCAACGATGTTGACATGTAGTCTGTGACCTTGACCTCCGTGACCTCTGTGACCTCCAGCCGTAGCGCTGCCGGTGCTGTTCGGTCTGGCCGCCCTCCCCCCTGAACTCGTCCTTCGGGTCCTGCGGCTGCTCGACGTCCGATCGGTGGTCCGACTGTCGGCGGTCTGCCGGCGCTTTGCCGTCTCCACGGCCGACTCGTCGCTATGGCGACACCTGTACCGCCGGGACTTCTCAGGTGAGGAGCCCGCCCCCATCATCCGAAGCCCATCAATCAATAAGCGGTCGATGGACGATCAATAAGCTCCTCTGTGTCTTGCAGATGGAGATCTCAGCCGCTCCAGAGACACCGACTGGAAGGAGGTCAATCACTCGCTGTTTGTTTCTTCACAAAGATATCTTAAAAGAATTTGTGAAATTTAGTTTTTTCAAGTTTTTAGTTAATTTAGTTTTAATGAAAGATGCATTAATTGGAACATGATGATTGTAAGGATGCATATATTATTTAACATATCTTTAATGAATGAGTGTTATTTACGTATTTGATATTAATTCTCCTTTTAATCACCTCCAGCTCTACAAAAGGTTCCATAAGATCCGCTGTGAGCGCCGACAGGTGACCTGGCCCCGCCCCCTCCCCCCCTTCCACCGCAACCCCTTCGTCCCCGCCCCCCTCCAGCCGCCGCTGCCCGGCATCATCGGGGGGGATTACGACCAGAACCCGGGCCTCCCCCGCGTCCTCCTCCCCCGCCCTCGCTACGACCCCGTGGGCCCGCCGGGCCTCGACCGGAGGCTCCCCCGAGGCCGACCTATGGGGGGGCGAGCCGCCGACATCCGGAGGGGCTTCATCTGAGCCCGCCTCCCTCTGGGAGCCAATCAGATCTCCTCCTGGAGTAAATAAGCCAATTAAAACCCAGATGATCAATAACTGATCAGTCTTAATACAGGAAGTTGGACTTCAAACCTGCTTTTTCTGAACTATTATTTGATTTTGTAAAGATATTTGAGTTTATTATTAGAGTCTTCTGTTATTGTCCATTTTATTACATATTTGTGTAATATTAGTAAGGTCGTAGTACGTACTTGAACACTGAATATTATTACATGTATGTATTTAATAGTATACATTTTATATTGTTACACATTCATATATACTATAACTTTATGTAAAAATATTCATTTCATTGAAAGTATACTAGTATGTAATAAATATAATTTAGTTGTTTAATAATTTGTGGTAGATGATCAAAGGTTAAATGACCTAAAACACAAACCCACGTTTCCGTGGTCGGGAGCGCGTGAGACAATGACGTCATCCTTTGTTTTAAAACAAAGGGTGCGTTTGTTCACAATCCACGTTTCGGCGGTGGCGTCTGGGCGGGCGGAGCTTAACGCGTAGAAACACCGGTGTGGGAAAAGTTGTGTTGCCCGTGTCGCGATGTGACCTAACCGGAAGTCACAATTGACTGGGGACGCTTTTGTCGATGTTCCATGTTAATTTCCTCTTTAACTCCGCCGACGGCGGGCGGGGACATCGTCGCTCACAGAGGTGCGCTGGATTGGTGACCTGCTTAGCACCGACGGTGGGTGGGTTTCACATCCAGTTAATTGAATATAGAGGCATTTTTTCTTTGAAAACTTTGAATATTCTTTGAATTCTTACATATATACATATTTATAAAACCCCGTCAGTGCTCCGTGTGTGTGTGTATATGTGTGATTGATGACGTATTCAGGTGCTCTGTCCCTTTAAGAGCCTCGTATTGATACCGGAAGTGTGAGGGGTGTGTCCAGCTGATCCGCACAACGGGAACAGTCTCCCTCAGCAACAGCAACACCGGCGACCTGCGGAACCGGTACCGGGTACCGGGGTAGGAGGGTGTTCCGCGGTGTCATGGTCCCGGCGCGACGATGGCGTCCTTTCCCGGATTTGCGCGAGGAGACGAGCGGAGACCCAGACGCGTCTCTGCAGCAGATGCTGAAGGCCATCGCCGACGAGAGGAGCCGTCTCACCGCGCGGCAGGAGGCCAGCGGACTCGGTGAGGATCGACCCCCGGTGCCGTGTGCCCTCAGTACGGAAATACCCCGAGTGTGTGCGCGTGTACACACGTGTACACACATGTAGCCGTTCTACTGATCCATCATGTGCGGCGGTTCAGGTCACAGGGGAGGGCCGGAGATCTGGATCATTATTCATCGATCTGATCAAAAGATCGATATCATCTGACGTCATCATGTACTTCAGATAACTCCAGGCTAAAAATACCACTCCCAAACTAATACTCGCATAGTACTCATACCACACTGTACAAATACTCACGTACAAGTACTTCTACCACACTGTACAAATACTCACATAAAAGTACTAATACCACACTACAAATCTTTACATAAAAGTACCTATACCACGCTGTACAAATACTCACATACGTACTTATACCACACTGTACAAATACTCACATAAAAGTACTAATTTCACACTTTATAAATACTCACATAAAAGTACTTATACCACACTGTACAAATACTCACATAAAAGTACTAATACCACACTACAAATCTTTACATAAAAGTACCTATATCACGCTGTACAAATACTCACATACGTACTTATACCACACTGTACAAATACTCACATAAAAGTACTAATACCACACTACAAATCTTTACATAAAAGTACCTATATCACGCTGTACAAATACTCACATACGTACTTATACCACACTGTACAAATACTCACATAAAAGTACTAATACCACACTACAAATCTTTACATAAAAGTACCTATATCACGCTGTACAAATACTCACATACGTACTTATACCACACTGTACAAATACTCACATAAAAGTACTAATTTCACACTTTATAAATACTCACATAAAAGTACTTATACCACACTGTACAAATACTCACATAAAAGTACTAATTTCACAGTTTATAAATACTCACATAAAAGTACTAATGCCACGCATCAAGTATAAAAGTAACGTTCCCTTTTGACTTGTAGTGAAATACAAGTATAAAGTATTAAACTGGGATTTGACCCAGAACCTTCTTCTGTGCAGTTCTTAGGTATCTAGAAAAGCGCTATAAAAACTAAAGTATTCTTATTAGGGTTGTCAATAGATTAAAAAAAGTTAACTAATTAATCGCATATTTTGAAATTTGTTAATGGCGATTAATGTGTTATTACAATGTTGTTTTTAAGACTAAATCTTAAAATGAATGAGTAATCACTTTAGAAAGTGTGTACTTTAGACAATGTTGTTTAATTGTTAATGTTATTTTAAACACAAAACTACACACATGTGATCGTGTTGGAGGTGGAACATGTTGAACTACGACTCTTCCTGTCGTCCTCGTGCACTTTCCTCTCAACTGTCCATCATTTAACGTGTTTGAAGTCCAACAATGTCCCACATTTAGTGGGACGTTTTCAAACCAGGTCTTTTAGGGACACGGTGGTCCTCTGCGGGCTGTTTGCTGTGCAGGGTAACATTAGATGTTGAGATGGTAGTAGCCTAGCAGCTAGCTTAGCACACCTGTGCTTTAAGTGGTCCGTTTGCCGCTCACCCCCCTTCTGTTAGACACGTGGATTAATTCCTCTGCTCAGTTCTCTGCTGTCTGTCACGCCACTGTTTGTTTTACTGCCGATGCAAAAAGTTCTCCGTCTTGATGTAACTGACTGCAGCTAGCCGCCGTTTTGTTTCCACAGTAAACGAACGAACGTTAACTACGTTAAAATATTTTGTTGCATTGATCTAGGACACATTAATCGCATAGATTAATGCATTAATGTTGACAGCCCTAATTATTATTATTTGTTGCATCATAACTTAATATCTGTGATGTCGCATGTCTGCAGTGTTTTACTTCTGCTCTTATTATTTTTTTAATATATCAGAAGGAAGAAGATTATTTAAATAACACTCAGGATTTGATATTTGTTAGAAGAGGTAGTTTTATAGTTTTGATTAATGTGATTGATGATAAATGTATCTTTAAAGTTTAAGAGTCGATCTTGTGGTCCTCTGAGTGGTTCTTGTGGTCCTCTAGGTGATTCTTGTGGTCCTCTGAGTGGTTCTAGTGGTCCTCTGGATAATTCTTATGGTCCTCTGGGTGGTTCTAGTGGTCCTCTGGGTGATTCTTGTGGTCCTATGGGTGATTCTAGTGGTCCTCTGGGAGGTTCTAGTGGTCCTCTGGAAGATTCTAGTGGTCCTCTGGGTGGTTATAGTGGTCCTCTGGGAGGTTCATGTGGTCCTCGGAATGGTTCTAGTGGTCCTCAGGGTAGTTCTTAAGGTCCTCTGGGTAGTTCTTGTGGTCCTCTGGGTAGTTCTTGTGGTCCTCTGGGTGATTCTTGTGGTCCTCTGGGTGATTCTTGTGGTCCTCTGGGTGATTCTTGTGGTCCTCTGGGTGGTTCTAGTGGTCCTCTGGGAGGTTCTTGTGGTCCTGTGGGTGGTTCTTGTGGTCCTGTGGGTGGTTCTTGTGGTCCTCTGGGTGGTTCTTGTGGTCCTCTGGGTGGTTCTTGTGGTCCTGTGGGTGGTTCTTGTGGTCCTGTGGGTGGTTCTTGTGGTCCTGTGGGTGGTTCTTGTGGTCTTCTGGGTGGAGCAGCAGGACCTCCTGCTGGTTACGTGGTGTGATTCGGCTCCTGGTGTGAACGCTGTTTGTTTGTTTGTGTGACTGCCGACAGACGGAGAACCCAGCAGGACGTCTGTCTGTTTACCTTCTGCCTGTTCATGTTTAAGGGTTCTCACTGTAAGAACGTGACAAAGCACTTTGTTCATGTTGGAAATCGTCTTAAACGCTTTGAAACAGAATTAAACTCCTTTTTCTAAATGTTCTCGTTCGTAAAAGTGGGAGAAAAGCAGCAGCCTGAACTCGGCTCCCCATGTTTCTCCTCGCTGCAGCAGAGATGCATTGTGGGAGGTGGGAGATGAGTGATGGAGGTCGCAGCTCACTTGATGTATTTTTAAAACGATACGCAGCTAAAAATAGATTTCTGCTGCAGAACGGATGTTTAAAATAAAGAGTCTCGTTATATCGAACCAGCTCGTCCTCACAGCTGACTCTTGTCACCGTGACAACACCTTGTTTCCTGAGGAACTCTGGGTATTCAATTTCTCTTGGTAATTACCCAGAATTCATAGCGTTGTTGAACCAGGCGTCATCCTCCGGTTCAACAATGTGAAAAAGGTCACGGCCTCGTTTATAAACCTTGCGTACGCACAAAAGAAGGCGCAGGGGTTAGAGAAGGTGTGCTGGGAATCACGAGGTTGGTGGTTCGATTCCAGGCTGCCCCATGTTCCATGTCAAAGTGTCCCTGAGCAAGACACCAAACCCCTAATTGCTCCCCGGGCAAAAAATGTGAGAAAACGCCACGGGTTTAAAGTGTAATGTAAGTCGCTTTGGATAAAAGCGTCTGCTAAATGACCTGTAATGTGAAGTAAAAACTGGAGGAGAAATGTGCGCTGCTTCACGCGAGCTCGGACCCACAAAAACGGGTGAAATGAACCGTCGGCAAACGCAAGAAACACACAAACGTGTGAAAGTGTGTAAAACTAGACTGTTGTAAATGAAATGCCAATACTGCCTCATAAAGAACACGAACACCCGTCTGATCTGCAGCGTAAAACAAACTACTACTAATTAACACATTTTCAAAAAGAAAAGTAAAATATGTTCTGCAATAATATCGTTATTAAATTCATCCTCTAATCACAGCTGTTGCTTGTCAGACGGACGGTGATAAAACGCCGTGATGCCGTCACAATGCGTGATGACGCTGATGGCTGATCTTCGCTCTTAGAAGACGTGGCACATGGAAGGATTGGCGCTGTAGTGCAGCACACCGTCGGCCTGTTTAAGGGCAGATGGCGCCGCCTCGACTGCACTGGAGGAGGTTGTTGTTTACTCCTGAGAAGGTGTGAAACATCGTGCTGCGTGTGCTGTGCTACATGATGTGGCACAGCTTCCAAACGTGCCTCGACCCCCTGACGCCGATGTTGGCCCAGACCCCCGATCCCCGATCCCCAACCACTGCCCCCAGCCTCTCATCAGGAGGAGACAGCTCCGGTGTCCCCCCCCCCCGGGACAGACACACGTTGGCGATGGCGCTAAACGCTTCTTTGCATCCACTTTGATGTCAGACCATTTTTTCTTTATTTGGGTCCGAGGTCGTGAGGCTGCAGCGTTGCTCTGCAACCTTTTGCCCCTCAGGTGCCTTGTTGGCATCAGTGATCCACACTGTGTCCTCCAAAGAGCGTCTTACTTCTCCTTCCCACCTCCCAATGATCATCTCCACTTCACACTGAGTTTCTTCGTTTTCCTCTCAGTGTTTGTCATGATTTCACAATGGATGAATATTAATTTGTGGGCGTTCCACAGACCATATATGGGCAGCTGTGGGCGTGACATGAAGCCGCAAAAGCTGCGCTGCATTTAGAAGTGATTGTGATTTATTAAGAGAAAACTGCGTAGGACGTTTTATACGTCTGAATATTTCTGTGCGTCCGCACGTTTCATCCGTACGACACTTCTGGCACAAATCCTACGCAAGGTTTTATAAATGAGGCCCCTTTTAATGTCTACACTTTCACTTTAATAAAGCCAGCTGGTTTATTAGCTGTTATTATTATTATTAAATAGTATAATAGTATAAATAATATGTATTAAAACACTAGTTATAGTATTTTATTAAAGACCGTATTGTTATGAAGTATTAGAAATTATATTTAAGAACTTCATTTTCACTTGTTCAGAAATACCTTCTTCTCCTGCGTGTAGTTTATATATTTAGCACAGTACTTTTTTCTATGTACACTTTGATATATTTATTTTATATCAGCACTATTTCCAGTTTGTATTCATCAGTTTTCTATTTGAAAAGTATTTATTCTATCAGGTGTTTATTCTGTCCCAACAATCTATAATAATTAAATGTAATCGTGAATTACTCTTTTAAATATGCATGAATAATATTAAGCCGGTCGCTGTGGTTCTTGCTCTGTGGGTCGCAGCATCTCCTCCAGCAGCAGGTTTCATTTAATGCCGCGTCATCCTCGGCCCGGTTGCCTGGCAACAGTTGCCGGGCCGCAGGCAGGAGCCTGGAGACGTGAAGAAAGAATAAAGCAGCAGATTATTGATCTATTTTTCAAAGGATACAATATTTACGCTCCCCCTGTTTTCCCGTCAGGCGGCTTTAGGGACGACCGCATCGTCTTCTGGACCTGGATGTTCTCCACGTACTTCATGGAGAAGTTCGCTCCTCAGCAGGACGACATGTTGTTCTACGTCCGCAGGAAGCTCGCCTACGTCAGCGGCGACAGCAGTGAGGGCAAAAAGGTGATGGAGATATTTGATCAAATTCATTTATTAATAATATATTAATGTTATTAAAATCACAAATAAATGTTTGCAGTCGATTTAATATCCCAAAGGAAATCTTGAGCTCTGTGTAGATGGTCGCTCACGTGTGCCCGTGGCGCTGTGGTCCAGGTGGAGGTGGAGGTCTACAGGAGAGACTCCAAGAAGCTGCCCGGCCTCGGAGACCCCGACATCGACTGGGAGGAGAGCGTCTACCTGAACCTCATCCTGCAGAAGGTCTTTACCGAGGCGTGTCCTCTGAGGAGCCCCAATGGGATTCTCGTGTGAAATATGTGAATATCGTACAAGAATATCGTTCTAACGAGAATCTAAATCGACATCATTTATAATCTGAGTTTAAATGTGACGGTTTCTCTTTAGCGTGGAACCTTTTAAGCAAATCATTACATTAAATTAAGGCTGTCAATAGATTAGCTAATTAATCGCACATTTAGATGTTGAGTTGGAAGTAGCCTAGCAGCTAGCTAGCTTAGCATAGCAGTGCTTTCAGTGGTCTGTTTGTCACGTGGAGTAATTCTTCTGCACCGCTCTGCAGCTAGCCGACGTTTGTTTCCGCGGTAAACAAACTAACGTTAACTACGTTTAAATGTTTGGTTGCATTAATCTCGGCCACATTAATCGCATAGATCAATGAGTTAATGCTGACAGCCCTACTTTATGTAATATGCATCAAACAGTTGAAGATTATAGCGATTAAAGATTAATGTGAATGATAAATAAAATATCACGATGTGATGCTTCATCCCAGATGTTCTTCGTCATAAAATGCTTATTTAATTAATGAGTTCAAAGTTAAATAAGAATAAAACCTGATTATTTACAGATATCTGGATATTTGATCATCTGAAAGGGTTCTAAATGGGGACACTGCTACACACTTTGTAGTACACACTTTGTACTACACACTTTGTACTACACACTTTGTACTACACACTTTGTACTACACACTGTGGTTGGTAGAAATGAAACTTTGTCACAGTAACTAAACTATAAGTTATTGAGGCAATGAGAGAAAGTGAGACTTCATGTGAATAACGTGATAAAGGCTCTTCATGCAGGACGGGAAGGTAAAGGTGTGACGTTTGCTCCTCAGCTGGACTACGTGGTGACGTGTGCGGTCTGCACGCGCTCCGACGCCGGAGACATCCACATCCACAAGAAGAAGTGCCAGGTGTGACCCCCCCCCCCCAACACCTGCTGTAATGTTCCACGCGTCGCTCTTACCTTCATCCGCTGTGTTCACAGGAAGTGTTTGCGTCTCCCAGCAAACACGCCATGGACAGCAAAGGGGAGGAGTCAAAGATGAGCTACCCAAACATCTTCTTCATGATCGACAACTTCGAGGAGGTGACGAACCCCGTTGAGCTCTTTAGTTCACTCACATCTTCTCTGGTTTGTGGTCACGTGACTGAACGTCGTAGTTTCACTGAGGAAAATGGTTTTATAAAACGATTGAAGCTTATTTTAGATTCTGACACGATGCGTTCGAGGACCGTTGGAGGATTGTTAGTTTTTACAGCCCAGTGTAGTGTGATGATGATGATGACGACGAAGGTAAATACTTATTTATGTCTTAAGAACAAACGTCAACGATCAAAACGAGGAACAATGGAAAAAACTAAACACTAATACTTCAAATATATGTAAATATGTATATATTTAGTCTTCTATCACATCTGTGACATTGAGGAAGCGATCGGCTGTTTTATCCTCGTCCATCCGTCGCTGTTGTCGATGATGATGATGTGGTGAAGGTGTGTCGTCACATGACCGCGTGCAGGTGTTCAGCGACATGACGGTTGGCGAGGGCGAGATGGTGTGCGTGGAGCTGGTGGCCAGCGACAAGAGCAACACCTTCCAGGGGGTCATCTTCCAGGGCTCCATCCGCTACGAGGCCCTGAAGAAGGTCTACGACAACCGGGTGAGACGCCAACGCCGCGTGTGACCACAGCGTTACACATTGATGCTGTGTTTACATGATGTCTTATGCTTATAAATAAAATGCATTATTATTGTTGACGCGCGATGATGCTGCGTGTATCATGAATGAAGATGACCCGTTCACAGGTTAGCGTAGCGGCTAAGATGGCGCAGCGCATGTCCTTCGGCTTCTACAAGTACAACAACATGGAGTTTGTGCGAATGAAGGGTCCGCAGGGCAAAGGTCACGCCGAGATGGCCGTCAGCAGGGTGCCGACGGGCGACACCTCCCCCTGCGGCACCGAGGAGGACCAGGCGTCCCCCGTGCACGAGAGGGTGAGCAAAACAAACGCACAGCATGCATGCCGCCGGGACCCCGGGTGTCCTGGAGTACCTGACGAGCGCGTCGCGTTCCCAGGTGACGTCCTTCAGCACGCCGCCGACCCCGGAGAGGACACGCCCCTCCTTCTTCTCGCCCTCGCTGAGGCGCAAAGTGCCGCGCAACCAGGAGATGAAGAAGTCCCACTCGGCCAACGACAGCGAGGAGTTCTTCAGGGAGGAGGAAGACGAAGGTAGGTGGTGTCTGCGGGTGGTGGTGGTGGTGATGATGATGATGATGAAGACGCTCTCCGCCCCCCCAGACCTCCACGCCGCCTCTAACCTGCGCTCCCGCTCCCTGTCGGGCACCGGCCGCTCGCTGGTCGGCTCGTGGGCTCAAACTGAACCGGACGGAGGACTACTTCCTGCTGTACTCCCACCTGACCTACGTCACGCTGCCCGCTGCACCGGCATCACCGCAGGTCAGAGGTCGCCGCGGGTCAGCTGACCTGCGCCCGCTTTACATTCAGTAGCTTGGTGTCTTGTGTCTCGGTGCTGACCCCGTTGTCCCGTGCAGACATCCTGGAGGTGAGGCAGAAGCCCATCCTGATGACGTAGCAGCGCTGACTCCACCGCAGCATCACAACAAAGTGCCTCCTGCAGCCCCGCCCCCCCCCCCCCCCCCCACAGACAGAACAGCCATTCAGGGAGTGCCTCTTCTCCTCTTCTTCCAGGCCGCCGGGTCCCGTGACATGAAGGGTGAAAGGCGGTTGGCTGAGTTTCTCGTAGGTCTCTGCTGCTTCGCTCGGATTTTATCTCGTCACGTGTTTTTGTACGAGAGGAAACAGGAAGTGACCCTTTCACAACAAGTCGAGTATTCGTCTCATTTCTGTGTTGTGCGTCACGTCGTCATCACTTTGTCGTCACGGCGTTTAAGAAGCACGTCTGAGATCATGTGACCAGCAGTTATTATTCACCACTGTTTTATTAAGCCTTCATTACAATAACTTAATACTCTACTTAGAAACATGAAATCCTCCAAAGTACATTTTGTTAGAGTAACAAACATATTTCAACCAGCAGCAACAATTAAATAAAATATGTAATTAAATGGACATAAATGATTATTTAAATAATTGTCTGAGATGTTTAAATTCTGAGATTATTTAAAATAATCACATGAATTATTCTGTTACTCTTTGAACTCAGTCAACTTTCATTATTATTATTATAGTGCAGAAATAAAACCATTGATTGTAGTTTTGAAACAAGAGTCCGGTGAGGAACGTTCAGCGAAAAGACCCACAATGCATCACTCCACAACAACTCGTCATCAGGAATCAAGTTTCACGCAGACTAACTTTTATCATACAAATAAACGTCTTTTTGTAAATCAGCTTTATTATTTTAAATATTGTCAGAATTAATATTGCATCTCTAGATCGGATCAAACTCACTTCATTTAACCAATAGTGTTAAAATGGACCTGACAAACGGATATTTTATGTTCATTTGTTCCATCTGAAGTTTAAATAAGCTTTTTGCCTCCAAATATTTATTCAATTGTGGATCAAAATGATAAATGTGTTTATGTTTGAGAAGAACCTGATCTGAAGTCTGCTGGATGTTCTTGATGAGCCGTCCTTCATCCAGTGTTTGAGGGGAAATGCTCCTCTTCCTCGTCGATGCCTCTGGCTGAATGTATTGACATTGATTGACAGGTGGATGTGAGGCTTTTTGTACACTGACACGTCGTCTCACTACTGTTCCATTTTAATGTTTGTGTTGAATTCACTAACAAACACGACTTTTCTGTAAATAAACATTAATATAAACATTTGTTTAACTCTTATTTTAGTGATTTAAGCAACTTGGATACAAACGAGAATCACAAAGTGTTTTAGATGAAAAAAGCAGACAAGGTGGTTTATTTTGTATTTTATTTCTCAAACGTCACATAAAGGACAGAAAAGAACAAAAACTGATGACGGAGATTAAAAAGAATAAAAAACAGCTGACTTTAAGAAGCTCCTCCCACAGAATAAATATCCAACGACGAAACGAACACGGTCGTTACTTTAAAGATGGCTGCCGGACCGGAGGAATGTGGGCGGAGCTTCTCTTGAGTTAAATACTTCACAGTATGACGACGTGTTGTGGGGGAACCTGTGAGACGTCATCGGGGCTTCAGCCCTTCTTCTCCTCCAGCGTCCTGTGCAGCTCGTCGGCGTCCTCGGCCGTCTTCACCCGGATGAGCAGCGGGACGGGACAGCCGGGGTTCTTGTCGTCCACGGCCGGGTTGGGGACGCACACGACCATCACGTTGTTCTTACCGACCCGCGAGAACGGCATGGAGGCCTGCAGCAGGATGTTCAGCAGGATGTTCCCTTCAAAATAAGAGGTCAGCAAGAAAATCACCGTCAATAATTAAATTCATTCAGTTAAAAATGTCTTATTCTAACTTATTGTTTTGAGACCCAGTGAGACGAGTTGAATGGTGGACAATGCTTCATTATTTATGCATCTTCATTATTTATTTCTCTTTGCCACTGAAAACACTTATAAATATATAATGTCTATTCTTATAATTAAAACGTTGAACGGTCCAAACTAAAAACATCTGTTTGGCGACGACCTGAAGTCAGGAAGCAGCTGTTGGACCAGCGTGCGTGTGCGTGTGCGTGTGCGTGTGCGTGTGCGTGTGCGCGTGCGCGTGTGCGTGTGCGTGTGCGTGTGTGTGTGTGTGTGTGTACCCAGGTTGGTGTCGGCGCGGATGATCATCTGAACTTTAGCGTCCTCGGTGTGTTTGAGGTGAAGCGTTCCGACTCCTTTCTCTTTGAACTCTGAGTCCTTTTTGTAGAACAGTTTGCACCTGAAACAAAGAATTAAGGTTGAAACGTTAAACCGGTTTCAGTTCATATTCAGATTACAACATTCACAATATGTAGATTTGTATCATCGACTGTTGATATTTCACCTTTAAAAAAAGAAACATGCCATGATTGGAAAATGCTCAGAGAACTTCTGTTAGAAATTACAAACAGAATAATACAATAAATAAATCAATGTACTCTTCAGACGTACTTCTTGGAGTAAAAGGCGTCGTCTTCTTTCACCTCCTTGACCTCGGCCTTCGGCGGCTCCTCCGACTCTTCTTCTCCGTTCTCGTCTACACACAGAACCCTTTGTCACTGACGAGTACACATGAGGACTGAACCCCAGCGCCGCTCATCTCAGCACCATGTTTCATATCTACCGGGGCGCCGCGCCTCCTCCGCCTTGGTTCCGCTGACGGACGCGAACACGGAGGTCTGGCCGGAGGCGAAGGAGAAGCTCGGGTGCGTCGCTTTGGAGCCCAGAGCGCCGAGGACGCAGCCGTCCACCTTCTGGCCGAAGTTAAACGTGACGCCGGGGCCTTTGGACGGGTCGTCTGTCGGAGCTTTGCCGAAGGAGAACGGAGTCGCCGTGGAGGAGGAGGAGGGAGGAGCAGCAGGAGGGGCGGCCGGGGGCGTCGTCTTCTTGTCCTCGTCGGCGGAGGAGGAGCCGGCTCCGTACTGGCGCTCGATGCTGGCCAGGTGGCGCTCGTAGTCCCTGAAGATGGGGTTGAGGTCGCAGAGCGGGTTCCCGTTCACGTGCTTGGTGATCCAGTCCCTCACCGAGCAGTTCAGGGCCGTCAGCTGCCGGCTGTACTCCTTGCTGCTGCCGGCCGCCTGCGGCGAGCCGTTGGTCTGCTGGGCTGTGATGTCAGAGGAGGCGGGGCCAGTGAACGACAGACCTGAGAGGACAGAGGGGAGGATTGACGGTGTGACACCAAGCAGCATGTTCTCCTCAAACACCCGCAGAGCTCCACACTCCCCTGAATGGGCATCTATACGACGGCCTTTGAACGCATCGTGTGGCACAATGATTTCTTCGGTTTACATCAGGGGTCTCAAACTCAAAGCCCCCCGAACGCGGGCCGGACCACCACGGTCCATCATGAGTAACATTCATTTCAGCCTTCAAAGTAAAGGCTTCCATTTTACATTAACCTGCCAGTGGCTGTAATTCTCCTCATCAGATCTTTTATTGTGAAAATACTGCCTGCTAAACGTTCAGTCACGTCGTGTCTGTTGTCCTCAACTTCCTCTTTGACTACGACCAACTTCCTGTCCTCCTCACTGGTGGCGTGACCCTAAAGCGCTGCTCTGGTCTCCTCACCCGGTGCGGGGGGGCCCGTCGCAGAGGGAGAGGAGAACCCTCTGAACGCCGGAGCGATGCTGTTTCCGTTGGCGAGGCCTCCGAGGCCCGCGAAGCCGGCGCCGTTCCCGAAACCAGAGAACGCCGTCGGAGTGGAGGCGATGCCGCCGCCGCTTGGCGCCGTCGCCAGAGAAAAACCTTTAAACCCTTTAAAGGATCCGCTGCCCTCGACCTGGAAGGAGAGGAGACGGTCAGAGGAGACGGTCAGAGGAGACGGACCCTCGAGCAGGCAAACGTGTGCCTTTACCTCTCCGGTGTTCCTGCGTTTGGCCTTCTTGATCGGCCGGCTCTTCAACACATCTTCACTCGCGACTAGAAACGTCCCGGCCTTCAGGAAGGAGACCCACGCGTTAACACGTCATCAGCAGCCTCACGTGGCCCTTAGCTGTGACCTCTGACCCAACAGCACTAAAGATCCAGAATGCAAAGGACAGAAGGAAAGGAGCTGGTGAAGTGAGACTCACCTCCTCTCCCTCCTCCTCCTGGTCCCAGTTCCGGTCCGTTAGCTCCTTGTCAGCGATCCTCTTCGCCATCCCTCCTCTGATCACCGTGTAAATATACACACAGTACACGTACCAGCAGTAATTCATTAGTGGAGTAAATAGTATATTAACAACCTTTGGCCTAGTCAGTTTGTTGTGCAGTTAAATTAACTTACAGTATTGTCCTGGAGAAGTACTATAAAGTACAAATACTCAGGTATAATTTTGAGGTAGTTGAGGAAATGTACTTTGTTACCTTCCACTACGGCCTATTAAACGCGTTCTGAGCGGATTAGAACGGAGACGTTTGCATAGTAAACAAACGCAGGTGGACTTGGCTAACAGTTAGCCGCACTTAGCTCTCCATTAAATCCACTTCCTCATTTAACGTCCGTCCTCGCGGAGCTAACGGCGGCTCGAGCTAACGGGCCGCGGGATTTAGCAGCTAGCTGGCTGACGTCTTGCTACCGCTAGCTCACATTAGCGGCTAGCGTCATGCTAGGGTCAGCTCAGCCAGGCATACTGCGTTTAAATGACGGTATTTGATTTAAACGCACCTTGATCCGCAATGTGAATTCCAACCTCTGTCTCTGGGTGACTCGGAAACGGCTCCACGTGACGCAGGCGGTACCTCGACGAGAGATGAGCGGCCTCTCAGGTAAACGTCTCTGTGTTTTGAACAAGCCTCTCTCACGCCGCCATTTTACACAGCGGTGTATATCCGCGTCCCGCCTCCCTGCGCATGCGCAGCCGACGCAGCACTTCCTTTCCGCAGGGGAGTTGTAGTCCATGGGATTTGTAGTCCATGGGATTTGTAGTCTTCAAATTACAAAACAGTAACAAAGTATTTTTATTGAAGATTATGACTTTTAATTTAATCACAATACAAATGATGGTGCCAGAGTTTCATTGAAGATTCCAGCAGACAAAAACAATAGAATAAAAATATGAACAATATAATAACAAATATGAAGTTTAAAATAAACAATACTCACCATAGGAAAATGAAATGAAACATTAGCATTAGGAGTATTCAGTATTTTAGTAGAAAAATATATCTAAAAAAATTAAAAAGAAAACGGTTAGCGATTAAATCCAAAGAAATCCTTAAACACAAAAGCATCAACAATGTAAATTAAATAAAGCTTTGTAAATTATTAGAAATACCACAAAAAGGTTATGATCACTTTGACAAAAGGATGGCTTCTTTTTCAGGACTTCTCTGCAGAAGTTGAAGTTAACGTTGAAATGTGGGAGCTAAATTTGATTCGGGGGCAAACTGGGCCCTGAAAATGAAATCTCTAACATCCTCGACCTCAGAAAAGACGCAGAAACACAAGGCGGCCTTTAGAGTCCTCACTATCCATTTAGTTTTTTCCTCTGTCTGTCACTGAGTGCTTTAAAAATCAAAGAAACATCGGATGCATGCAGAGAGAGAGTGTGGGGGCAAAATGATGCGTAGCCGAGCAGCAGATGGCTCTTCTCCAAGCTCGCTGCCAAACAGGAACAGGTGCTGCAGGAAGCCGGAAGTGAGCGGAGGGCAGCAGGAGACCTTCTGACCAGCTGGCGAGAAGAGAGAGGGGGACGACGAGAGGAGGCCGGCGTTCTCTACAGCTTTATTCACAAAGGCTCCCAGAGAAAACACACATTTCATCGTCTCAGGTTTTTTACATTTTGACGTTAAGCCCGGACTAAAAGAACACCCGGGGGGCGGTGTGTCAAAGCTAAACCAACATCTAAAGTTTTAAATCCTCACGCGGGAAACGTGATGTTGTGCCTGTAAAAGATCCTTACGGTGAGATCAGAGCTTCACGAGTTAAAGCTGCATTCTGTGAAGTGACCAGCAGGGGAGCGACTCCTCTGCTCCCATAGACGTCTATGAGGAAATGACTCTACTTCTCTGTAGTGACCAGCAGAGAGCGACTCCTCTGCTCCCATAGACGTCTATGAGGAAATGACTCTACTTCTCTGTAGTGACCAGCAGGGAGCGACTCCTCTGCTCCCATAGACGTCTATGAGGAAATGACTCTACTTCTCTGTAGTGACCAGCAGGGGGCGACTCCTCTGCTCCCATAGACGTCTATGAGGAAATGACTCTACTTCTCTGTAGTGACCAGCAGGGGGCGACTCCTCTGCTCCCATAGACGTCTATGAGGAAATGACTCTACTTCTCTGTAGTGACCAGCAGGGGGCGACTCCTCTGCTCCCATAGACGTCTATGAGGAAATGACTCTACTTCTCTGTAGTGACCAGCAGGGGGCGACTCCTCTGCTCCCATAGACGTCTATGAGGAAATGACTCTACTTCTCTCTGGATTTATTCCCTCAGTAAACATTGTAAACATGAGTTTAGTCTCTAGTTTCAAGTCTTCTTCAACACAACATTGTGCTCATTTAGTGCATTATGGTCTATTTAGAGTCAATCGGACGTTTCTACGTCGCCATGACTACGTCCACTTCTTACATTCAGCTATTCATCATGTCTCTTGAAGGATCTACTCTGGTTCCTGCAGGTTTCCCTGTAGAGGTTTGCTTCCTGCTGTGCAGCGTGAAGGTGTCTCCGCTCAGTGGGGGTTCGGCCTGTGAAGGGATGTTAAACATCAGCAGTTATTAGACATGAGGAAGAGAAAAGAGACAGAGGTAATATCCCCTCTTTTCTGACAGGAGTCTGGTGAGTTTGAACCTGTCTATTTTCTAGTTGTGTTTCTATACATTTTAATATGTACATATAATATAACATAATATATTACAAATAATTATTAATGAATTCATTGTTAATTATTATTATAATTATTACTTGTTTGATTTACTGCGTCTCGTCTCTAATTGGCTGACGGACCTATCAGTCAATCAGGCCTGTAAATGAAGCCTAATTGGGAAGAATGAATTGACTCAGTGGGCAGCGATTAGCACAGCGACAAATCAAAAGGAAGCAGACAAACTCTTAATGATGTAAGATGTTATAACTGTATGAGAAACGCTCTGCCTGCTTCCTACTTTCTAAAAGGGCTGAAAAAACAAAACAACGTTTACGTATTTTCAAATCTGTAAACGCAACATTTATTCACTCATCAATATTTCATTATTTAATCATTTTACTCGTGGTGGCCATTTGTCCTACAAATCTTTAAATCAGGGCGTATCGTCCAAGCAATCGCTTCCTTTTGTCCAAAGAAGACAACAAACACACACAAGCAGTGTTCTGTCACAGCTTATTAAACACTAGTGGTCCAATTAACCCGACAATTAAGAACAATAACTGGCCAACAGCTCCCACATTACTCATTAAAACTACAGCGGTTTTATTCACATTTAATTAACGAGCTTCAACAGAATAAACACAACAAAACCCATTTATACGTATAAAAGTACTGATGAACAAGTGTGTGAATGCACATTATATGTGTATATGTATGTACACACATATACATAGTATAGGAAGAAGAGGAAGAGGAAGAAGAGGAAGAAGAAGAAGAGGAGGAACAAGAGGAAGAAGAGGAAGAAGAAGAAGAGGAGGAACAAGAAGAAGAGGAGGAAGAAGAAGAAGAGGAGGAAGAAGAGGCTCTGAGTGACAGATCTGGGTCACAGACGCATGAGGAACAATCAGAGCTGAGAGGTTGTGTTGTTGTGAAAGTCACAAGTACTATACGTAAATATCGAAGTACTACTCCCTCACCAAGCAGTACTACTAATTTTTATTCTCACATGCACAGAAATATGTATTTGCAGTTGTGAGGTACTTGTTGTACTTGTACTGAGCCTGACGCGTGTTTTATGTGTTTGGAAAGCAGCTAGCGTGGCTATGCTAAGCTAGCTGCTCGTGTGGTGTTTTATGTGTTTGGAAAGCAGCTAGCGTGGCTATGCTAAGCTAGCTGCTTGTATGGTGTTTTATTAAAACGGTCCATCGTCTTTAGAATGAAGCCCCGCTGCTCCTGAAAGACGCACTCTAGCTTTGTGTTAGCACGAGGCTAAGCCTCTGTTAGCCTTAGAGAAGCTAACTTAGCAGGTCTGTGTCTTGACTGACCTCAGGTCTGTTTCACAGACTGTTATATTCAAGTTGTTCTGCTATAACAAACCACCAATATCTTTGGTTTTATATTAAATTGAATTAGATGTTGAACTGTTACTGCTGTTAAAAAGCACTTTATTTTAGTGTTTGCATAAATAAAAGTGTGCAATACACTGCTTTTGAATTCATTATTAAATTAAAAATTGCTCTCTTATTTCATTTGGCAGTAGTTTATTCTTAGACACTTGTTATTTAAATATACATTTAATGAGAATAACGGCTTTAATTGTTAAATAACTTTACCTAAATATAACCCTGATAATTACAGGTTGTTTGTTGATAATAACTAAGTAATATAGAGAAGTCAGAGTTTCACCCCTGAACGTGAAATGAAGAGGAGCAGCTGATGGGGGAGAGATGGAGGCAGGGGAGAGATGGAGGGGGAGAGATGGAGGGGGAGAGATGGAGGCAGGGGAGAGATGGAGGCAGGGGGAGAGATGGAGGCAGGGGGAGAGATGGAGGCAGGGGGAGAGATGGAGGCAGGGGGAGAGATGGAGGGGGAGAGATGGAGGCAGGGGAGAGATGGAGGCAGGGGGAGAGATGGAGGGGAGAGATGGAGGGGGAGAGATGGAGGCAGGGGAGAGATGGAGGGGAGAGATGGAGGCAGGGGGGAGAGATGGAGGGGGAGAGATGGAGGCAGGGGGAGAGATGGAGACACAGAGGGAGAAAGGGAGGAACTACTTTCTGCCTCCGCTGCCAGCTGACTGCAAACTACAAGTTCCCAGCGAGTTGTGGGTGTCCGGGCGCTGCCGTCAGCAAAGTGTCGGTTGAAGTAAACAAAATGGAGGACTAGCTTAATGCTAAAGTGGGAGACGTGAATAAAGAGCTCCATGGCGACGTTCAAAGAACCGTAATGCGCCCCCACCCCTCCGCCTCTGTCCATGGTGCTACCGTTACTACCCTCTGATCCGCCCGGCACAATGTCGACTTGTGTCTTCGCTCACAACAAAGAACACGCACACACATTGCCGCCATTTTGTTCACGTTGTAGTAATTTGTGCGGTAAAAGTGAGGAGAAGTTGTTCGAGTTGACGACACATTCAATCACCAGCTGCCATCTCTGCTCGCTCATCAACTTTCCGATCACATCCTCCTCCCCCTCCTCCCGACGCCGGGCTCCCGTTGGTTCCCCGCGCTGCCCCTCAATCATCGCAGCTCTTGATTGGCTCGGCTGGGACCAATAGCGGCACGCCTGTGGGTAAAGGGGCGGGAGGAGGAGGCGGGGGTCAGAGTGACAGACAGGGCGAAAGAGGCTGGATATCTGGGAAGAAAACGGCCACATTTGGCCTCTTTGTGTTCAGAGACGTTGAACTGAAGCTTCATTTGTTTGGACATATTTAATCTTCCTCACTTTGTCCACGTCTGTCTCAATTAGTTGGGATGTGGAAGCTGCTGCCATGTTTGTTCTTCTTGTTGATGATGTGTTTCAAACCATCTTTAGGTTATATATATATATATATATATATATATATATATATATATATAGTTGCGTGTAAATGTATGTTTGTTATGTTGTGTGATGTCTTGACGATAATAACAATAATAATAAACTTAATTTATACAGCACATTTCAAAATAAACGCACAATGTGCAATCTGGTTAAAACAGGAAAAGAAATTCAGAAAGTCGATTAAATAAACACTATACGAGTTAAGATGGAAATAATATGTAAAGAAAATGAATGTCTTGATCGTCGTATCTTATTGTGTTATGGATCACTATATTTTGAACATGCAGCATGAATACACGCATTATTTATTTACATTTATAAAATGCTCCTTGAAGTAGTTGTAGCTTCTCCCTACTGCGCATGCCCTCGCTGCTCCATCCGGGAACTCTCAGAATTACCATTGACAGCCGAAGCGCAACTTTTCCCCAGGCAAAGTGAAATCAAGCCGCGGACTCGGACAGAATATAGTCCCCGTGTTTCAACTTAAAATAACCGACGGGAAAGCAGCCCCGCTCCCCCGTCGGACCACTCGACGTTTGGCCGCGAATCTGGAGAAGAGCCGCCGGGGCCTGAGCTCTTTCCGCCGGGTTTGGAGCACTTTTCGCAGACGGGCGGAAAGTGGGGGTGATGAGTCCCGAGCCTGCGAAAAAAAAAAGCGAGAACTTGCTTTTTTTGCCGTCAGCTCGAGTAGTTCGTTCTTCCAATTGTTATCGTCGCTTTGGAAATAAGAAAAAATATATATTCTGATTAAAAAAGGAAAAAAAACTTCGCGTCGGTGGCGTCGGAAAAAAGTGTCAGAAAAGTGAGTTTTTTTTGTGTGGCCGGGCCGGAAACATGGAAGTACGAGGCCTGCAAGAGGCGCTGAAAGTAGAGATCCAATGTCACCAGGTAACCAGCCGTCGTTGTTCTCCGGTGGTCGTAAAGAAGCAGCCGCAGAAACAAGATGTCGCTTAATAACGTCGAGCACGCGCCACTTGTGCTCTGAATCTCTACGGCTTTGTTTGTTTGTTTGTTTGTTGTTGTTGTTCGCGGTGCAACAAGAAGCCCTCTTTTCTTCTCGGGCTAATAATGCGGTGGTGTGGCGGCGATCCGGACGCGACCTGAATATTTATGAGGAGCCAAAGAGTCGCCTCCACCTCCTCCTCCTCCTCCACCTCCTCCGCTTTGTTCCTCCCTTCCTCACACTAACAAAACTTGAGGGGACTTTTGTTTTAGCGTAATAAGGCCGCAGTTACTGAACTAGTTGCCCAGATGAAGCAGGACCCACAGGTATTTAAAGTACATGTATTACACGGCTAGCTCCTCAAGCTAACGCCGAGGCGGCTGTGCGAGGGAAACTTTATCGGCCTAATGCTGCTCCGTGGCGGCTTAGCGTGCATGTGGATGCCGTGTGTTTAGGTGGATGTCCGTGTGGCAGGTGGTGATTGTCCCCTTGTGTTTTCCCGCAGGATGGAGAGCTTAAGAGACAGCTACACGACCGGCGGATATCAGCCCTGAGCGACAAGCAAGTAAGTCTTCTGGCCTCATAACAAACATGGTGGATGGGGACTCAAAAAGAGAAAAGATGGGAAAGTGAACGCCGTTCACGCCCGCTGTGTGTGTGTGTGTGTGTCTGTGTGAGTCCGTCTGTGTGTGTGTGTTTGGACTTCCTGTCTCTCGGCATCTCAAAGTTATGTTAAAAAAACTGTTCGCGTCCATTTTGAGTTCATGTTTCTGGAGAGTAAAAAGGAGCTAATAAAGGAGCTAGCTTTAGCCTTTAACTCTCCGGCTCGGACTTGTGGCGGGGAGCCGCTACGGCGGAAGTTTAAGACGTTAAGACCGTCTCCACCGGGCCGGAGGTGCTTTTAGGGCCTGTTAAATGGCGGATTATTTGTTACTTTATACTTTTAGTCCGGTGGTGTTTTTTCTCCTCGCGCAGGGGGGGGCGGTGGGGGGGTCACGTGACCGCAGATGGTGCACTCGATTCGCCTGCTTTCACTTTTCTTCCCGTTGCTGTCTTTTTAATAGCTTTAAACTGGGCTTAACTTTTGATGCCGCGGTGGCGGTGCCACACGGCGGCAGGTGCTGATGGAGAAGCCGGGTAGCGGAGTTCAGCACCGCGGACAGCTCCCCCCCCTCTCCCGGTGGCTCGCTGCTGCTGCTGCCTCGCACCGCCCCGCCGGTCGGTCCCAGCCTTGAGAGCGGGGGACTGCCGGCTGGGTCCGCAGGCCCGTTAAAACAGCAACGCCGATAGTTCGTAAAATGTCTGCGTACTCTTATTAAAACGGTCCGTCGTCGTTAGAATGAAAGCCCGCCGCTCCGAAGCCCCGCTGCTCCCAAAACACGCACTCTGGAGTTGGAGTTCCGTGAGCGGCGGCACTGCGGCTTCCCAGACCCCGTTAACACATCGCTAAATGTGACCGTTTAGGTCTGAGCCGTGACGGGAATCACAGCGCGTGTCTTTGTGTGACTCCACGAGAAACGCGCTTCACTTCGGCGGTTATCTCACCTGTGTGGACTAAGTTAAGCAAACTAAAGTGGGCTATGTTTTTTTTTAAATTAAAGGGCACCTAACCGCCTCATCCAGCGGCTTTAATTAGTCCCGATCGCCGTTAAACTTGGCACATAGTGGGACTCCAGCACCGCCCAGTTCACCCAGCTTCTGCTGCTCCCTCTGAAGCGTGTGTGTGCTGTGACTTCTCCTTCTGTTTGGTAGTGGAAGCTTCCATTTTGAGAGAGAAAAGGGGGTGTATCCCCCCCCCCCCCTCACACCAGAGAGGGGAAAAGTCTGCAGAGTTTTGTGCAGGAGGAGGAGGAGGGGGGATGGGCCCCATTCATGCCGAACATTACCATTTTGATTGCTTTGATGCTGTTTTTGGATGTGGGGGGGTCGGCAGTGAAAAGAGAGACACAGAAAGCCCAGTCAGCACCGCTGCACACAGCCAGGTTTTTAATCACCACGCTGATTAATTCTTCTCTTCTAGCTGCCAAACGTGACCTTTTATTACTTTTTCCTTCTGCACGCACACATGAACCCGAATCCTCCTCGTCCGCAACGGAATAATAAACTGGAATGTTTGGATGTGGTTACTAGCGGCGTGGAGAGCGGGTGGAGGCCTGGAGGTCATCTCATGGTCACGGGCTTCATGTGAGGTTCAGCTCTCACATGGGTGCATGTTGTGAAGGAGAACAAGTGGTTTCATAACACCAGCCCACAGTTTATCACCAGAGGAGGAGTAGAGGGATGGAGATTGGAGGAATCAATGGGGGGGGCTCATGTTCAGTGTGGAGGTCTCTCCTTTAGCCTCCTCCTGAGAGAGAGAGAACTTCATTTAGTAGATGTTTCATAGGATTAGGTTACTGGAAAACTGTTTTTGATTTAGTCTTTAGACGAAAAATGCATATTAGTTTTAGTCAGATTTAGTCATTTTAATCCTTCTTAGTTTTAGTCAACGGAAACTAGACTAAAATGTAATTAGTTTTATTCTAGTTTTAGTCACATTTAACAGCCATATTAAACTCTTCCCTTCTCAGGCCCAGAGACCCTGTGTTGTGTCTACAGCTGCATAATAGTCCAGCTTGCAGTACTTGGTTGTCCATTAGATGTCCCTCCTAGGACAGGTCTATAGATGTCCCTCCTATAGGACAGGTCTATAGATGTCCCTCCTATAGGACAGGTCTAATAGGACAGGTCTATAGATGTCCCTCCTAGGACAGGTCTATAGATGTCCCTCCTAGGACAGGTCTATAGATGTCCCTCCTATAGGACAGGTCTATAGATGTCCCTCCTATAGGACAGGTCTAATAGGACAGGTCTATAGATGTCCCTCCTAGGACAGGCCTATAGATGTCCCTCCTATAGGACAGGCCTATAGATGTCCCTCCTATAGGACAGGTCTATAGATGTCCCTCCTAGGACAGGTCTATAGATGTCCCTCCTATAGGACAGGTCTATAGATGTCCCTCCTATAGGACAGGTCTATAGATGTCCCTCCTATAGGACAGGTCTATAGCTGTCCCTCCTATAGGACAGGTCTATAGATGTCCCTCCTATAGGACAGGTCTAATAGGACAGGTCTACAGATGTCCCTCCTAGGACAGGTCTATAGATGTCCCTCCTATAGGACAGGCCTATAGATGTCCCTCCTATAGGACAGGTCTATAGATGTCCCTCCTAGGACAGGTCTATAGCAGGTCGGCAAACGTTTTGACTCGCGGTCACAGTAGGTTTGTAAAATGTGACGGAGGAAGAACAAATGGTTGAAGTGTTTGTGTGAGCGAATATAAATGACGTGTGAAACATCATCACATGAAAGGATTTGGATTTTAACAAATAGCAAAGCATTTATTTGCAAGGCAATTTAACAAATTGTCAAAGGTGTAACAACTTCATGAGGACCAGGGACCTAAACGCAACACTTTGTTGTCTTTGTCTGTTTACTTGAGTGCTTTTGACACTTCATGCTCCTTTATTGTTTCCACTGTCCCAACTAAAGAGACCTTAACGTCCTACAATCAATGCAATACATTATGTTCTTGGCTTCAGAACCTGCAATAAGTTTATTACGTTAGACGTGTTTGTGACGGAGCGTCTCATCCAGCGAGGAAACGCTGCCTGCCGTCGCCAGAGAACAGAGCAGAAAGGTCCCACAGTCTTTAAACGCGTCTTCATGTTTCTGTGAAGCAGCGCGGCTTCAGCCCGCTAACAGTCAGCTAACAGTCAGCTAACCAGAGACAGCTAACAGGCAGCTAACCCGAGACAGCTGAGCTAAACTAACGAAGCCACGTTCAAACTATAAAATAGTCGTCGCGGTCCGTAATCGGTGCACCGCTGCACCGATACGAGCGTTCTGGGTTGGTGGATGACGTCATCATGACGCGTTAATAACCGCCGTACTTTGTCTGTCGGTTGTCTGTCAGCTGCGTGCGAATTTAGGGGGGAAAAGTATTGTGACTTCGTCAACCACCAACATGTTCGTCTCGTCTTAGTCAAGGAAAAAGGTCATTAAGCAACATTTTTCGTCGACGAAATGAACGCTGGCGTGATGGAGGCTGAATTTGCTCGCCGCGCACTCACAGGTCTGATTAAGAAGAACTACTTTTCTTTAAAAGAACATTTGATTCTTCCTGCACACGCAACATCCTTCAAGGAGAGAATCAAAACATTCTACGGCAACTGGACCGGGTCCAAAAGGCTACAATGGTACAAATACAAATACTTCCAAACGGTACTTGAGTTTACATTTGAGCCAAATTAAGTATTTTTAACTGGATGACGTAATATTATGGATTATATGAGCATGACGGGATCGATGAACATAGTATGTATTATAATACTTGTTACTCTTTTGTACTGGTATTTAGTTTAAATGCAGTAGTTGTACTAGTAGATACAAGTATAGTAGTATTTGTAGAGAGTGCGGTTTGTGACCCCGAGACGACGAATGTGAAACACTCTTCGGTCCAAGCAGCTGTCATTACCACGGCAACCAGAGGTTCCAAACAATCACCATGGAGACGCTGTCAGAGAAAAGTCTCATTCAAGTGGCAGGTCAACGGGAAGAAAGGGATATTGTCTGAGATTAAAATGCTCCGTTTACTTGAATTACGTTTCGTATGCTTTCCAAATGAAATGCTATTTACTAGAATACACGGTTATTTTCTCTCAGATTAAAGTAGCGAGTTTAAAGAAAACAATCATGGATCATTTGCAATAAAAGAGCAAGAATGAGGACAAATTACAAATTTAAGTTAATTTACAAGAGAAAAGCTCAAATATTCTCTGAAAGTAAACTATTTTAAAGGTAAATTGAAAAGATATTTTCCATAAATTCAAATCAACATGTGTAGATGCTTTTATTATGGCGGTCGAACAGGGTTGTTAGAACGTGTTGCTAGGATACGAGGGTGAGGAAATGTGAGGGAGTTCATAGAGGGTGAGGCAGCGAGAGACGTCTCACATTCACCTCCACAAGATGCTCCACCAACACCAGAGCCTCCAGGTGGCCCCGTGAGCCCAAAACTACAGCGCTCACTTCAGCCACAGCAGTCAGAGTTCCCCTGACCAATGGTCCTTGAACACATCATGCGTAAGTCAGATTCTGTTAAAAACATTACAGTCCAAACTTTGTGAAAGTGCATCATTTATTCATATGAGATCAACCGTCATGTGACCAGAAGTCAGAGAAACTGACTGAACACAACAACTAACAACAACTAACATGTTGGTGGTTCTTGTGCACCGACTACGGACCGCAACGACTATTTTACGCTTCGGCGAGTTTGAACGTGGCTTCGTTAGTTTAGCTCAGCTGTCTCGGGTTAGCTGCTTGTTAGCAGGCTGAAGCCGCGCTGCTTCACAGAAACATGAAGACACGTTTAAAGACCGTCAGACCTTTCTGCTCTGTTCTCTGGCGACGGCAGGCAGCGTTTCCTCGCTGGATGAGACGCTCCGTCACAAACGCGTCTAACGTAATAAAGTCATTGCAGGTTTTGAAGCCTCACGAATTTCAACTATAGTTCCCGCCTG